GTTTGACCAAGGAAGGAAAACTCACTATAAATGAGTTCACTTGGATAGCAGAGGGATTTCAGGATCACTAGAGATTTGCTCCAGGGACTGGCTGATGTCGAACTGGGCCTTTCTGTGAAAGCTGACAGAATACACCTAAGACCTTTCTAGTTATACTAGAGGCATACTTTTTAAGCATTTTATCAGGAAATAATTAAAACTTCCAAGTAAGTTGCAAGTACAAAGACCACTCATACACGACTTACCCAGTTTCACCTGTTGTTAATATATAAAACATTCTGCCCCGTTTGCTTGATCAGTGTTCGCTCTCCTTCTCTATACAACGTTATGAGGCATTTAAGAGTAAGTTGCATACATCATAGCCCTTTACCCCTAACTAGTTTAATGCTTATTTCCTAATAAGGATATTCTCTTTTATAACCAAGGAACCCTGGTGGTGCAGTGGTTAACTGCTCAGCAACTAACCGAAAGGTCAGTTGTCTGAACCCACCAGCTGCTCCACGGGAGAAAGATGTGGCAGTCTGCTGCTTTAAAGATTTACAGCCTTGGAAACGCTATGGGGCAGTTTTACACTGTCCTGTAGGGTTGCTATGAGTCGGAATTGATTCAGTGGCAGTGGACTCGGCTTGGGCTTATATAACCACAGGACAGTTATCAACTTCAGTAAATTTAACATTGATATACTTTAACCTAGCATATGTCTTCCAGTTTTGTCAATTGATCCAATAATGTCCTTCAGGGCATTTTTTTCCCCTCCAGTAAAGCTTCCAGTGTAGGATCAGACGTGGCATGTAGCCATCATGACACTTTAGTCTCCTTTAATCTGAAAGGTTTTCATCGATTTTCTCTTTTATGTCACTGATACTTTGAACAGAGCCCCCAATCTGTTTTAGTAGAAAAGACCTCATTTTGAGTTTGATGTTTCCTCATGATCGATGTTGTTGTGTGCCATCAATTCTGACTCATAGCAACCCCATGTGACCCAGTGGAACTGCCCCATAGGGTCTCCAAAGCTGTAATGAAGCAGACTGCCACATCTTTTTTCCTGGGAAGCAGCTGGTGGGTTCAAACCGCCAACCTTTCAGTTAGCAGCCAAGTGCTTTCACCACTGCGCCACCAGGGCTTACATTCCTCATGATTAGCATGTTCACTGTGCATTCCTGGCCAGACCCCTACCTATGTGATGTCGTGTCCTTTTGAGGGGTCACTTGATACTGATCTGACCCTGCCTTCATTGATGATGGTAAATTTTGATCTGGTCAAGATGTTGCCTGATTTCTCCACTGTATTCCCCCCCCCCCGCAACTAATAAGCAGTATGTGAGGAGACACCTTCAGACCATGTAGTTGTGCTTATCAAAATTTCCCCTTAGATGGAGCATCCACTGATGTTTCTTACCTAATCTTTTACTATGATGATTGCAAATGGTGGCTTTCCAGTTTCATCACTCCTTCCACACTTCACAGCTGGCACTTGATCTACTTTAAGCAAAAGCCCTTCTTCTTCCCCTATTTATTTATTCATTTAGTTTTCATTATGGACTGATGAATTATTTTCTCAGTGGTTTCAGTTCATTGTTTTGGTGCTCAGATGGTCTGTTTTGGCCAGTGGGAGCCCCCTCAGGCTGGCTTCTACGTTTTTGTGTCATGCCCCCATTACTTTTTTGAGCACTTCCTTTTCTGGCCTAAGGTATTTCAGGGTCAGCCTGTAGTTACTCTCCTCCAGCCCTGGAATCCGCCATTTCTCCAAGGAGCCCTGTTTTGTTTTTTAGTGGACCAAGATCTGGCTTATCCATGATATGTGACTCTGGTCATTTTCTCTTTCATTAAAAATTTGTTTTGGCCACAGATGAAATGGATTTCACAACTCACTGTGAAGAACACTGTTTTAAGGCAACTCCTTGTGTGGCTGTCATCATCGAAAGCCTAGGCTGGGCCAGTCAGTCCCTCCGCAGTAAAAGCACAGCTCCACTATCCCCTGCCTCTGGGACAGTGAGAGGCTGCTCCCCAGTGGCTGGGGCTGGATCCAGGATGTGGCAACCATTGAGGCCACGGAGCTGTGCTTAGGGCAGCAGCTGCTTTTCAAACACAGCCCCAAAGGCCTGGCCTGTGTCTACCCAGGTTCATCCCTCTCCCCGTGGTGGTGGGGGTCACAGCCCACATCTGCCTCCACAGGCCTTGCTGATGACGGCTGCTGAGAACTGACTGTGGCCTTTCCCTCAGACGTGAGTACTTGGAATTCTAAAGGCAGAGAGGAGAGTAGGTGCTCCTTAGTGCAGAGCTCAGCTTGTTAAGGACTGAGCCCTGGGATCGCCAACCCCCAAATCTGACAGAAGCAGCACTTATTAACAGGGGCAAGTATTTTCAGGATAACAACATCCAGCTTGTTCTAAATATACCTGGGAAGTTTGGAGCTTCTACAGAGGTCAGCAGTTCACAAGACCAGTGACTTCTTTTCTAATGCCATCTGCAGAGTTCCTAATCCATCTGCGCCTTGTGCCTCCCTCGCCGTAATGCTCTGTGTGAAGGTTTGGTTTGATGCACTGTGAGTTGGTCCTGTTTTCCTATAGAAGTTTATCTTCCGTCCTTCTCAGCTAAAAAGGTCTTGCCATTGTATATATTTTTTTCTGTATCAGTGCAGTCTTTTTAATTCTCACTCCAAGAACAAACCCTCGTCCTATACAGTCAGGTCTGTTGTCAACTGCATAAAACGTCCTTTATGTTTAGTAAAATCATCTCGTGGAATTGGGCATAAAACAGTGGAGGCTAGTTTTTTGGTCTTTGCTTTTATATAATGTATATTGTAAGAATTATATAAAGTGAAGATCTGAAACATCACATTTCTAAATAAGGCAAATTTTTCTAGAACGTAAACTTGAAGACTGATACAGAGATCGTTATAAACTGAGGAATGGAATTGCCATTCTGGTAATTTAGTAATAAATATTTTAAAATTATTGAATGTCTACCAAATTCTAGGCAATGTAGTTTCTCCATTTGTTTCTGTCAACACTTTCTGAGCACCTACTGGGCTGTAGGGTTAGCAATATGGGACTTGGCCCTGTGACATTCCCATCCCGCGTCTTCCCTCAGCCACAGTGGTTCCTGAACGATAGGTTTCAAGTGTCCTACCTCGGGAATGTGGTAGATGGTGGGCCCAAAATTCCCATGTAAACTTAACCTCTTACCACATAACTGGTGAGCTAGGAATAATTTATGCATTTCAGACTACAATCAAGCAATCTTCACTGAACATTATGTTTCTGTACTAAGTTTGTGTCAGTAGTTTCTATTTTAGTAATGCCAGGAATTTTTAGGGTCTGTATATGTAGAAAGAAGGACTTAGCAGTAGAGCAGGATGATGCTTATTTTAGAGCTCAGGAAGCTGAAGCCCAGAGAAGGGTAGAATCCATCTGTGATGGAGCTGGACCTTGACCAGGTGCCAAGCTTTCTGGCTCCCCGAAAGCTACTGCCCTTAAGGGGCAAGATCTTTTAGGAGATGCCCACAAACATTTGGACAATAAGCCTTCAAAATTTGGAAGCCCCATTATAGGTGTCAGAATGGTGCTATAAGAAAGAATAATGTGGAAGTCACAAAAGAATCTGCCCTTTAGTTGTGTGAGCAAGACGTCCTGACTCTAATTTTCTTCCATCTCTTGTTCAGTCCACTAATTCCGAAGAAAGTGCACTGCACTAGATAAAAGAATATAAAACTTTAAAAATTACTTTAGTTGTGGCTGGTTCTCATTTGCCCATGAGTCGCTAACCTCCAAAGCTTGGTTATTGCATTTGGGCAAATCTTAGGACAAGGCCGGGGCAGGCTCCCTGCATGTCTCGGATGCAACAAAGGCCCTTTAAGAACCTGAGTCTCCAAGTCCAGTGGGTGGCTTTGTCTTGCCTCCCTCAGCATAGAGGCTGTTTTTCAAAAAGCAAAGAGCAATGAAGCCAACTGAAGTTGAACGAGTTTTGCAAAGGGAAATCTCTGAGGTCATAGAGAACTTCTTATGGAAATAGGCATTTCCAGCACAGGCCTAAATTCAGAAATTCCTAGGGCTGGGTGGAACCTTAGAGGCGAACCACTGCCATCATTTTTGCCCTGAGTAAGCGCTGGGTTGGCTGCAAACCCTAGGAACCTCCTGGCTACCCCTCTTTGCTCTATGAAGGCTGCCAATCCTCCCCCCTTCATTTTAGATCACTGCTCGTTTGCCACATTTATGTGGCTGCAATTAAGTGTCAAGTCTCTCATCTGTGGAAATTTTGGTAGTTTGCTTCTGATAGGTAAGACTGGCCAGAAAACTCAGGGAAAAATGTCATTTGCAGTTCCTGTTGTTATTCAGTAAAAGCTCTGCTCTTAAGGGCAGGGAAGCATGACCTGGCCGTATCCCTGAAAAAGACACACAAAAGCTCATCTTTTTGAGCTGTGCTTATGTAGTACTATACTCGTCAGTAAACTGAATGTATCTGCTTCAATTATAGCCTTTTAAAAATGACCTTGAGGAATGCTTTGAATTTAATGCTTAAAAGAAAAAAGATTATTGGGGTGTTACAGTTTATTTTTAAGAACATGTGGTTTCGAATATTAAATCTATTGCAACTACAAATCCCTCCATTGTTTCCATCCATTCAGAAAAACAAAGCCAAAGGAGAATTTCTTGGGAAGTAAGGGATTTCCTCAGGTGATCAACTGAAGAATAGAAGCTTCCCCTGCCCCCCAAATGGGAAGCCCCGGCAGCAGTTTCTGTCAATAACAGGTGTTTCTGCTACCCTGCCTTTTGAAAAGTACACGGAAAAGAGACTGGTTCAAACAGCACGTTTTTTGTGATACGTATTTTACCACTAAAAAAAAAAGTGACGGAGCAGGGCTTTAGTTTACAACTTTGATGGTTACTCAGCGTGTGTGTGTTTAAAAGTGTAAACCCCCCACAATGAATTAGACCTAGTTTCTTAAATAAATAAAAATGGCTACATAAAATTATATATATATATTTCCCCCCCCCCCCCAGTTAACAGTCTTTTAGTCTTAGGTGCATGGACCAAACCCGAGATACAACCTTCCGTTTACTTCACTAAGTAGTATCGAAAATACTTTCCTCCTCCACTCTCTCCTTTGGGAAGCAGGAAGGCTAGTACGGCAGCTGTTAGGAACGAAGGCACAAGGCACAGGCAGAGCGGGGTAAACTGAGTCGTGGGGGATAGGCTGTCACTGGACCCTGCCCCAAGCAAGGAAGGTCCCAGATCACCCTTGAGTTCTCCCATCCCTCACAGTCATATCTTTTAAAGGCACATCCGGAAATGGTGCAACTCGGGGCTGGGGTAAGCTGCACACAGTTGCTATGCAGGGGTGAAGAGGTGAGGCTTCAAGACTCTGTGGCACAGAGCAATGAGGGTATCCTTGCCTTCTTCCACACTGAGGGAGAGTAGGGGAGCCCGGAACCCAGCCTGCTTCTGTGGAGGCATGGGGAGGGGCCGGCAAGACCAGGGCTGTGGTCAGTAGTGCAAGTACTTAAGAAGTCTTTGGTACTTGTGGGAGCAGCATCTCCCTTATGTATAAATGCTCCTGTAGCCCGCAAAGCTAGGACAAGTAAGCTCCTGTACACCATGGTCACTGGCCTGACTCCTCTCCCGGCACTGACCATCTGCTGCACAGGGGCACAAAGCAGAGGAAGTCTGAACTGCGGTGAAAATACAGATCTTAGAAAGGATTTTCTGAAGACAAACCTTGAAAGGTGAACTTCCCTCCCCAGTTCTACTGAGGAAGGTGAGAAACTCCTAGGCTTTCTTCCCAGGGAGTAAAGGATGGGTGCTTGTGGGGCCCTGGCAGAGAGCAGAAGGGAGAGGTTCTGAAGGTCCAAAGAGCTAGCTGCCCACCTCACAGGCCCCTGGGCTCCAGGACCAGCCAGTTCTCAGTGACCGTTTGCATGTCTTGGCCGCTCAGAGGCTCCCGCAGCCTCACCTTCACCTCCAGCTTCCCCCCAGTGGGTTTCCTTCCATCCAGGACCTGTGAGGACCGTGGAGAGGGAGGGGGCGATGGGTGGTGGGGAGCTTCACTCTTCTCACAGGAAAGGAGTAAGAGGAGCTAAGGCACCCCACAGGGTTAACAAAGGCCATCTGTTTCATGACAGCCCCTGCCCTCCTGCCATTTGGTGGTGGTGGTGTTTAGGTAAGTCTCATAAAAATATGTAACATAAAAATGCACATGAGCAGCAATGCTCTGACTCAAGTGGAAGTGGGAAACCTATAGCTCTGCCCCCCCCAGTGTCCCCTCAATCCTCATGGCAGCTCCCAGAACAAACACGGGCTTCAAGGAGCCGCCTGAAAACCGCTTAGCCCAGCTTCACTTCAGAGGTGGCCCAGAGAAGTGGATTTAAAGTCACACAGCCACTGCAGGGCAGAGCCAGGAGCAGGACCCAGGCCAAGGTTCCTGCCAACCCACCATACCGGCTCCCTCCTCTCATCAGCAGAGGAGGCAGCTGGAGGGCTAAGCAGTGCTAACAGGCCTGAGAAGTCTGATCACCCTCAAAGGAACCAATACAAACCAGGCTTCCCTAGGGAACAAGGCCCCCCAACAGGCAGGGATGCAGGTGCACCATGGTGGGAAAGACCCCAGCCTGAGAAGGCATCAGCAAGGGTCTGGTCCTCTCTCTGCCAGGAACATACTGTACGAGCTTATGTAACACCCTTCCCACTGGTTCTTAGTGTACTCATCTGTTACAGACAAGCTCTGCCTGCAAAATCCCATGGAAGCTTAAAGTGCTGTCTGGGGGCTGATGCCTAAGCACAGACTAGCTACATTCTGGTGGATCCCTGCTCCAGAAACACTTTATCAGCGTTATGTCAGGAGCTTGTTCCTCTTCATACGCTGCCAGACAGTTGCCCAACCATAACTCTGCCTTCAGAAACCTAGGAATCTGCATGTGCCAGGCTGGCAGCAGTAATCAGACCCCTTCGGGGCCCTCTAATCCACTTTCCCTGGAACTTGAGGGGGGACAAGGTATTCTAGAAAGAGTATGATCACTTCCTATCTAGGTGTGTCCGTGTGAGTTTCTCAGACCCTCTGAATCTCTTCATCTGTGAAATGGGGATACCACCTACTATATGGGACACTTAAGGATATTTTAAAATTAAATATTGGGCACAAAAAAACCTACAATAGGGACTGGTGTCCAATAAATGTTGGCTCTCCTCTAAGTCCTCTGGTATCCCCACCCTGAGCCCTACCTCCACAATCTCTCTGATCTCACACTCATTCTCCAGCCGCTCCAGCTTCAAGTGGGCTGTGCCGACCAGCTTGTCGCTTCTGAAGAAGGACCTGGGAAGCCAAGAGGCAGCAGAGGATTGGACTGGGCAGGGAGGCAGAAGTGAACTGGCTGAGCCCAGTGCAGAAAAAAATGAATAGTTACACCAGCAGCAGCGACAGAAACACCATTCCTTCTTCCCAGCCCACCTCGACAGTGTGACTGTAAGGGGACTCACCCTTTGTGGAAGATTTCAAACTTGATTCCTTTGCTTTGGATCACCCTCCTGAAGCCCCGGTGGTTTCGGTTGATGTTTAGTTTGAAGAGTTGATCAAATTCTGCAAGAGGGGGAGAAGGTAAGGAGGGGCTTGGCTCCCAGAGATTTCCTGAGGAAGTGGAATACGGAGGCCCAGGGCTGGCCTTCCTTCTGAATCTCTCTGCCTGCATTTCAGAGTGATTGCCACCAGTGGGTGATACAGTCTTAAGTGCTGGTCTTAAGAGTTTCTGTACTTACAGTTGGCAGTTAAGCACTCAACTACTAGCCTAAAAGTTGGAGGTTTGAACCCATCCAGGTGTGCCTCGGAAGACAGGCCTGGCAATCTGCTTCTGAAAGGTCCCAGCCTTAAAACCCTATGGAGCAGTTCTACTCTGCACACATGGGGTCGCTGTGAGGCAGCATCAACTCAGTGACAACCAACAACAGCTGACACAGATTATAACAAAGAGGGAAGGACTTGGAATTTGGAGTTAGGATTCCTGGGTTCAAGTCTCATTTCTACCACCTCCTTGCTACGAGACCCAAAGCAAGTCTTTACCTCTCTGAGCTTTAGTTTCCCCAGCTACGGGAGAGGACTGGTGATAAAAGAATAACTGTCTTTATCACTCAAGTTGAAAGGAACAAGTAAGATAACAGATGTGCAAACACTCTAGAAACACAAGTGCTGCACACACGTCAGAGAGTGAGAGAGGAAGGGTCCTCATGGACAGCCTCACCTGGAGAGTTTGTGTTCTTCACCACAGCTGTTTTGTGTTTTTGAGCCTGGTCCTAAGAGCAGTGAAAAGGGAGAGTTCAGGACAGCCTGGGGAAAAAAGAGACATACAGGGCCAGCGACTCTGGGCTACGTGAGTGTCAAGGGAAGGGGCCCCTTCAGGGAATGGACCTAAGGGTCTTCAGATCCCTCCCTACAACAGGCCTGGCCAGGGATGGGAAGAAATTGAGCACAGGGTCCTAGAACAGAAGATGGGGATTCAGAGCATCCCACCTCTATCTGAGCCTCACCGCGTTAGGGTAGTGGAACTCAAACCGCACAAAGGCATCCAAGTCATCAGGGGTCACTCCTGTGAGGGAGAAACAGAGTCAGAAGGAGTGGCCAGACGCCCAGTCCTTGATGTGGAGGGAGAGCCAGCGTCTCCACACTGGCTGGGGGTGGACTGTCTTGGCAAAAGTTTCCTGGAGTAAGATGGCCCTGGGGTTACCTGGAGGAACTGGGAGGTTCATTCCCCGGACAATGATCAGATGCATTTCTGTGCTGTTGAGTTCTGAGAAGATCCTATGGCCAAGAAGAAAGGAGGAAGAACCCAAGTGAAGGAGAGTGGTGGAACAAGGCCCTTCTTCCAGTGCCTGCCGTGGTGGTCAGGAAGAGAGTGGGCCCAGGGAAGAAATCCTTGCCTCAGCTACAAGTGGCTGTGCTGGTACTCAAACCTCAGTTTCCAAATCCCAGTCCAGAGATCTTTCTACACAACTGCACCAGCTCTGAGCAAGTCACAGGCAGTCCCCACATGCTACTCCTCAACACCCCCAGTGCCTACGGCAGGGCCAGGCCTTGGGAAGCTACACAGAAGGCCTAAGTCTCCAGCCCTGGCTCCCAGCCTCTTGCCAGTCCATAGATGGGCCTCCACCCAAGAGCTGCTATCCCTCTTAGGCTTTCACACCTTACAGTCTGGAATGTCTTCAACTCAAAATGGTGGCTGGGAGGGTCAAGGCCCTGGGCCTGGGCCAGCTGCAGGATCTCAAGCTGCTTTTTGCGGTCCTGCGCAAGCTTCTCAAACCTAACAGGGAGGGGTGCGCAGATTAGCATGGCAGGGCTCGTTTTCTGCTGCCCATCCCACAAGGCCACCTTAGCCCCAGCCCTTGCACTTACCGCGTAGTCTCAGCTACATTGCCCTGGTGCATGAACTGCTTGGAGAATAGCAGGCACTTCTGAAAATAGGGGCCCAGCATGACAACAGAGCTCAGACAGGACCTGCCTAGGTTGGCACTGAAGGCCCATCTTCTTAGAGGTTTAACCTTCCTCTGTAGCCTTCCCCTTTCCTCCCCCAAACACATATCCCAAGGGCACTGTTCCCAAGTCCTGTCACATTTTTCTGCCTAAGTTTTGCTGTTTCCTTTTCTGATAGCCTTTCCCCAAAATTCACGTGGCAACCTCCTATTCATCCTTCAAAACACAATTCAAACATCACCTCAGAAGACCTTCCAGAAGAGTAAGCAGCAGTTCATTCATATATATACACCTACTCCTCACTTACTATCTCATTATCTGACATTTCACATTTACAACAATAGTAAAAACTCTGTTCTGCGCATTAACGATGTACGTCTGGCACTAACGAACACTGTGGTGCGAGGCGACAGTAATGCTGGCTGTGATGGTTAAGGGTATGTGTCAACTTGGCTGGGTCGTGGTTCTCAGTGGTTTGGCAGTTATGTAATGATGTAGTCATCTTCCACTTTGTGATCTGATGTGGTCATCTTCCATTTTCACATTAACGCCAATTTTCACATAATGAACTGTTCTTTGGAACGTAACCATGTCGATAAGTGAAGAGTGGGTACACATGTATACATACATATGTATGTTTATACACACATATATATCTACGTATACGTTTCTACATGTGCTGCATAACAACCGTTCGGGAAACACTCGACCACATACACGTCCCTGGTCCCATAGGGTTATAGGAGAGTTCACAAATCCTGACTGGAAAATGGGACGTAGCAGATTCAGGCATATCACACTTGACAATCATGATGATCCTCAAAAGCAAAGAAAAAATTCTCCAAGCTGTTAAAGGATCAGCTTCACTGAAAGCTACAAAGCTAACAAAAATGAGAGGAACCTATATCAGATATGGAGAAATTGCTAATGACATGGATTGAGAACCAAACACAAAAGCAAATCCCTCTCAGGACTTGACTATCACTGCTAAGGCACAAAGCTTGTTCAAGATGCTTAAAGCAAAGCAAGACCAGACTATGATATTGAGTTTAGTGCTAGCTCTGGGTGGTTTAGGCACTTCAAACAATGTTTTTTGCTGCATAATATGACAGCGAGTGGTGAGTCTGCGAGTGCTGATGCAAAGGGCAGAAGAATTTTTTGAAACCTCAGATGAACTACTTGTAGAGGGAGGTTATCTGCCCCAGCACATTTTTAATATGGACAAAACCTCCTTACTCTGGAAGCAAAAGCCTGAAAAGATCTTCATCTGTAACAGGGTGTTCTCAGAACATCCAAATCACGTATTTCCCAGAATGTACTGTGGACATTAAGTGACGCATGACTGTGTATCTCTTTAACAGTTCCTGCTCCCATCTGCAAAATACCTCACCTTCCACTCTGTTGTGTGAACTCTGTAACCACCCTGAAAGAGGGGCATTACCATCCCATTTTGCAGATGAGGAAAATGTAGTTCAGAAGGGTAAGTGCCTTACCCAACCAGTAAGTCGAAAAGCTAGAATGTGAAACCAGGCCTACCTGGTCTGAGCCCTTTCCCCAAAACAGGCTATGGGCACTGAAAGGGGGAGAACAGACAAGAAACCTACTGACCTCATGCTGCTCCAGAAGCATTTTTTGTAGCTGGGCATACACCTCCTCAGCCTTCTGGGAGATTCGCAGGTCCTCGTGGTGGATGAGGATGAAGTCACCCTCCTCATCCGTCAAGGGTGAAGGCACCTGCCCAGGTCACAAGGCCCCTCAGGGGCCCCAAGAGTCAGATTACTCCTCTACTGAGCCCAACAAAGGCAGGAATTCCTTCTAAATGTTCTTCAGCTTCTACTAAACTCCAGTAATGGAAGCTCATTGCCTTCCATTCTATCCTAGGCTGCTGGAACACTCTATCCTCCACTGGTCTTGTCACCTCTGACCACAGACCGCCCACCTGCCCTTCCCTGGCCCCTCGTGGAGCCATGGGGTAGGCTCTTTCCCATGCTGCCAACACAGCCTGTTCAAATCCTGCCTCATCCAAGAAGCGGCCCCAGTTCAATCCTCTGCCTCCCACCCTGGTACCCACCTTCTCTGCCTGAGAAGCCCTGGTGCTTACACAGCTGGGACTCACCTTGGAGAGGCTGACAGGGCGGCCAGCCCGGGCCTGGAGGATCTGGGCCTCAAGGCCTTTGACCACCCGCAGATGGGCCTTGGCCTGCTCCAGGTTCTGGCCACGCTTGGCCTGTAGGGCTGCCCGCTGGTACTGTAGTTTCCGTGCCTCTAGCAGCACCAGCTGCTCCCTCACTAATGGGAAAGGACACTGGTTGGGGCCATGCCTGCTCCTCACCAGACCCTTCACTCCTCTTCTCCCCAACTCACCAGATGGACTCAGTGACTCCTTAGAACTCGAGGCCTTGGGCTCAGGCGGTGGCCGGGATGAAGGGACCAGAGGCTGTGCTGGCTTCTTTGCCACTGGGGCCTGGGCTGGGGGCTCATCCTGCAGGTCCCAGAAGGCTGTCACAGGGGGATCTGTTCCCTACCCTGGCCACAGCAGCTCCCAGACTAGGGCTCTTTTCCAAACACTGTACTGACTCTCTGTGTGACCCAAGATGAGTGGCCTTCCCTCTCTGGCCCCTAGAGAATCTCAGGGCTAGAAGCAGCTTTGAAAGCTCTCTGGTCTAAACTCCCTCAACAGGAAACAGCATGGTAATCAAGCCTGGGTTCAAGAGTCCAAAAGACCTTGGTTTGAATGCTAGCTCGGCTAACTCCTAGCTGCACCCCTTGGCCAAGATTTTCTCAAAGAATACCTACCTCACTGGGCTCATTAGTATGGACAGTGTCAAGCACAGGGGTCTGGATTTACCCTTTTTCCCCCACCAGCCCCTGGGTCTTGGGCTCTCAGCCAAACCTCGTCCTCCTCATCTTCCTCTGCTGGGGCTGTATCCTCTGACGTGGCCAGTTTCTGGGCAGCTGCTAGAGTAGCTGCCACCACATCCTCCGCAGTGCCCTTAGTGGGCCCCAGGCCAGGGATTGGGGGAAAGCCTGTGGAAGAGAGAGAGAGAGCTGGGAGGGGTGGAGTAGCCTCAGAGAAGCACCAGGCTGCTGAGGGCCCTGTCTGGGTCTTTCCTGGGCATGGCTGGGGGATGGCTTCCATAGGCTCAAGTGGATCATGAGGAATCACTTCCCTCTCCCTCCCTTCTTGCACAGAGACCTCCTCATAGAGCCCCAAGGCCAAGCCCCACTCACCTGGAGGAACAGGCAGCTCAGCAAAGTCAACCTTCCGTCCTGCTCGGTGTGCCCGAATAGCATCTTGATATTGCTGCAAGGGAGGGAAGGGAAGGCCTGAGGGTGGGCAGCAGTCAGCAGGCTCCATGCCCACCTGACACAGAAACAAGGAGAGGAAGACCGATGGAAAGACAGCTCTGGAGGGAAAAAGGCCGCAAGGCAACAAGAGTTAGGAGGGCGAGACAGACAGACACACCAAGACAGACTCAGAAGACCAGGGCCTGTTGAGGGAGCACAGAGACAGAGAGCAGTCAGCCAGGGAGAGCTCGGCACGGCATGGGGCCGCACGGCTGCTGCCCACCTTGGCGATGCGCTCATGCATCCGGGCCTTGCGCTCATCCCCATTGCCCCGGGCCTGGATGCCTGCCTCCCGGTACTTGTTCAGCCTCTGCTGCAGGGCGTCCAGCACTGTCTGCGGCTCTGCAGGGGCCGCTTGAACGAGAGAGGGAGATGGCATCGGCTCTGCCTGCCCCTCCCCAGCCCCCACCTGATGGTCCCTCCATCCTGCCCTACCTGGGGTTGCTGGCGCCTCAGGGGCCATCACTGGCTGTACTCGCTCCACTCCTGGGGGTACGACTACAGGTGCTGTGGGGGCCTTGGAGGCCTGTGGCTTCAGGTCTGGAGGACCCAAAGCAGAGATGTAGGTGGGGGGCCCTGGCCAGCCCCAGCCCTGATACTCCTCCCCAACCTCAACCCAACATACTCCCCACCACCCCCATACTGACCCTCAGGTGCTGGGGGCATGGCACTCAGGTCCACAGGCTGCCCCCTCTCCAAGGCCTCCAGGACTGCACCAAATCTCTACAGTAGGAAGAAAAGCGGGTGTGCGTGTAAGCCAGGGATCCCCGAGAGCCTGGCTGAAAGCAACGCCCCCTCAGGCCAGTCTCACTCAAGCCTGCTCTAGGTGTGTGACCTTTAGCAGGTCACTGCCTCTCTCTGGGCCTCAGTTTACCCATCTGTGAAACGAGGGGTGGGACACGGGGCCTCTGAGCCAGACGCCATACCTTCCCAATCCTCATGAGCTCTCGGGCATGATCCAGATCTCCAGCCCGTTTGGCACTGAGGGCAGCCACCTTGTACTCTCGCTGTCGGGCTGACAGCAGAGCCCGCTGGTCTGGATCTGAATCCAGTGGGGCAAAAATGCCAGGGCTTCCCAGAGGGCTTGTCTCAGGCTGGGATGAGATGTCTGTGGGGAAACAGAAAGCTCACAGAGAGAGCATAAGGGCCAAAGAAGAAGGTGCACACCTTGGGTCCCAGCGCCCACATGCCTGGTCGGCCTGAGGGCCTCTTCAGTGAAGGGGCAATGAGGAAGAAGGACAGTAGTGTGAGGGGAGGCAGGCCACGGGTCCTGGCCCTGGGAATCATGACAGGATTTGAGTGTCTCCAGATACCTGGCTCCACGGCTGGGGGCCCTGGGGGATCTGCCTCAGGGTTCCTGCTGGCTGCTTCCTGGGAGGCAGGAGGCCTCTTGCCCAAGGCGACTGGAGGCGGGATCTCATCTTCATTGATCTTCCTGCCTTTCCTCACAGCAGACAGCTGGGATTCCAAAGTCTGAGGGAGAGGAACTAGTCCAGAAACCCAGCCAGCTGTCTCAGCCTGAACCCTGCTTCAAGACAGGCCAGGGATCCATCACCTCCACCGGGCTGGTGGAGAAGCCTTCACTCCGTTGGCCCAACCTTTTCCAGCTGCCTCACCCACTGCCCCTGCCCCACCACCCAGCCCTGCTCCTCAGCAGGGCTCACCCACCTTGAGGCCACGCTCACAGCGCCTCGCCTTGGCTGCTTCCCCTGCCTCCTTGGCACTGGCTGCTGCTGCCCGGTAGTTGTGGATCCGCTCCTCCAGCAGGGCCTGCAGCCCCTCAGGCCTTTCAGCCTGCAGACACTTCACTCAGGGCTAGCTAGGCTCTTGCTGCTCCCTCCCTGCCAGGAAACTGCCCCAGAAGATGGAGCTCTGGGACTCAAGGGGAAGGAAAGGCCTAAAAGCCTCAAGGTGGGAAGCAAAGACTCACTGAAGAGACCAGAGGCCATGTCAGAGGCAAACACACAGGCCCAGACAATTGGTGGAGGCAGGGAATGGCTGAGGAGGGTGGTCTGGGAGAACAGAGAGACCTTTGAGGCCAGCCAGCCACCAAGGAGTTTTCTTATTGGGTTTCTGCTTGGGACAGCTGCTGGAGGGGGCCCTGGGAGGGGCTACTCCAGCCTGGACATGCAACCCACGCACCATGCATGCTCCCCGTGGACAGTGAGGGGCACCAGAGGCACACAGGACCCCTACCTGAGCTGCTGGGACTGGTGCTGTTAGGAGGGCTGTCGGCACTGGAGGGTCAACACTTTCCTGCCCCTTCTCCTCCTCAGGGCCGCCTGGGCTGGCTGCCTCGTCGCCATCCAGGGTCCCAGCCTCCTCCTCCTCTGTACCCAAGACCTCCTGCAGCTCAGTCTGGGGAGACAAGTCCCAGGACCTTGGGGGCCTCCTGGCCATGCCCACGATAGGATGTGAGAGTAAAGGGCTCTCACCCCCAGCAATATTTCCCAGCGTCAGCTGCTGTGCTTGCAAGTTGCCCTCCCAAACACTTCTTTAATCTGACCAAGAACAGCCCTGAAAACAGTGATGACTACAAATCTAAGACTCCCCGCTGCAGAGCTTGGACCAGGGGTCAAAGGAGACCAGTCTCACACTGTTCAGTTAGGAAAACGGAGGTCCGGGAAGGGCAAGGCACTCACTCCAAGGCCAAGCACACAGAGGGACAAACCCCAGCCTTTTCTCCACACCCCTCCCCCACCAGGCCCGAGGCTGACCACAGGAGCTCTTGGCCACCAGCATGGCAGGACGCACCAGAAGGTCTGCATCCTCCTCCAGCCCTTCCTCCTCCTCCTCCTCCTCCACATCCTGCATACAGTCTGCCGCCAACTTCTCGATGTGGGCCATGGGCAGGGGGGCTGGGGGAAGAGGGTCACAGAAGGTCAGGGTAACACAGGGAAGGTGCAGGATGAGTAAAGAAGGGTCTTCAATCCACTGGGCTGGGCAAACACACACAGGAAGAAATCCACTCTCATGCTCACAACCGAAGTCCCACCTGGAAAACTCCTGCTCATCCTTTATGACCCAGCTGAAAAGACCCCCACCAGGGAAACCTTCCTGGACTGCTCCCTTCTTTGCATTGCCTGTACTATTATTCACAGACATATCCACCCATCCCCCCAACCACACCTTTCACATCTGTAAAGACTTTCTTTTAAAATAAATTTGAACTTCACAACAATTCTGCAAGATAGGTACTACTATCCCCATTTCATATACGACTAAACTGAAAACTACTAACTACTTTACCAACATCACAATCCGTTTAAGTGGCAAAGCCAGGATTCAAACCCAGGCTCATCTTACACCAGACCGGGGTTAGACGGAGAGACAGGAGAGCGCCCAGTGGTTCTCCCAGACCAGGGAGCCTTTCCAGGTCCTCCCATTGTCCTCAGCTCAGAGCCACAGGGGAAGGGGATGGTTCTCTCTGAGGGGTTCCCGGAGAAGTGAGGAAGATCTAGGCCCCTTGATGCTTCCAGGCTGTGAGGGGTGACTCCACTTATCCATTCATTCAACAGTTTCTGTGCACTCACTATGTGCCCAATTCAGTCCTTGCTAACTGAGCCCCCCTCAACAGCAGGCCCTGGTTAGGACTAAGCAGGGAGACACATCAGCTAGTCTTTCTGAGAATCAGATTTGTCCCCGGTGGGGAGGGGCAGTGTAGAGAGGGAGTGCGTGAGCAGGGCCAGACGGCCTCTGGGTGGGAGTGCTGCAGGGGGCCATGGGCATCAGAAGGACAGGTGACGTGGCTGGCTCCTCCACCACCAAGCCCAGCCCAGTGTTACAAACTCACCCTGCCCCTTCAGTGCTGGCTTCCTGCCTGGTGTCCCTTTCTCTCCAGTGAGGGCCAGCAGCTCCGCCTCCAGGTCCCTGTCATCTTCGGCCTCTTCCATTCCCAGCAGCATGTCCTCAGGGTTGAACTCCACAAAGAGCCCCAGCTGAGGGCAGAGAGGGGTTCTTAGGAAGCACACAATGAGGCAGAGGCAGGGCCCAGCCCCAGAGCCCAATTCAGGGATCCTGATGGTGAAAGCCCATTGTGCAGAAAAGGAAACTGAGGCCTGAGATACTACCCCTGAGGACACTTATCTCCTGGAGACCCCACAAAGATCCTAATAGATAACAGTATCATTATTACAACTAATAACAATAGCAATGGCTGCCAGACATTCACTCAGCACTCCACATGATTATCTTGATTAATTCTCAACAACTCTGAGTGGCAGGTCCTATCTTCACCTCCATGTACAGATGAACCCAAGACAGTCTGCTGAGTGGCAGAGCCAGAATTTAAAATAAGGTCTTTGTGACTTGAGTTCAAACCCTTTACACTACCACCTCCCTTACCTGCCTCCTTTAAGACAATAAAAACAGACAAAGAAGGCTGAGGGCTTGGGCCCAGGAAAATAAAGGCAGAAACTGAGAAGGCAGACCTGCTTATTCTCCCACATGGGCCATGTCTCTGTCCCTAGCCCCTGGCCACAGTCCTCAAGTCCTGACATCCTTGCTGGCATGCAAAGCTGTGGCCCTAAATGAGAAACCCATAGAGCACTGAGGCCCCATGAGAATATCCTAGACTTTGGTGGCTCCTGAACCCTTCAGGTCACTCATACAGACGTGGTCCGTGCAGGAGGCGGCCTGGGTTGAAGGTGTGCCACCCCTCACTGTGAATTCAGGCCTCATCTCCCACCTGTGTGTGGCAGGGGTTAGTCAGAGGGTCTCTAAGGGCTCTGCCAACTCCATGAGGCACAGCTCAAAGTCTCCTGACTAATGGGGAAACCACACTGGCGACCCAGTTTGCCCAAGCTCTGTCTAGAGACCCCTCTCCCCCCAGTGGCCCAGGGGTGAAGGAAGCTAGATCCATACCTGCTTGGCAGCTGCCACACCCTGGCCACCGGCCTGAGGACCCTTCCGACGTCTTGGGCCCGGCATCTTGGCAGCTTAGCTGCTTATCTGCTGGGGGTGGAAGACAGACTCAGACTGGAGCAGCCTTCAAGCCCTGCCCCCAACAGTGCTACCTGTGGTAAGGTGTGATTAGTAAACTCCCACCTCACAGAGAAAGAAGACAACGCTTAACACGAGGGGATGGAATACTCATGTCGGAATTATAGCACCAAAAGAGTATGAGGAGATGGAAAGGGATGGGGACAGCCTGGTAATGGGTGGGCGTGGACACAACATGAGGTTTCTGAACTAAGTGAGGAACATGGATTAGACCTAGAGAAGTTGGATGCGGAGGGGCCTAGGAAGGCAGATTCAGAGAAGTAACTCTAGGTACAGGCTGGACAGGAGGCTGGTGTCATGGATTGAACTGTGTCCCCCCAAAATATGTGTCAACTTGGTTAGGCCGTGATTCCCAGTACTGTGTAGTTGTCCTCCATTTTGTGATTTTCCTATGTGTTATAAATCATAATCTCTGCCTGTGGTTAAAGAGGATTAGGGTGGGACATAACACACCTGCTCAGGTCACATCCCTGAACCACTGGGGTGTGGCGTGCACCACCTTTTATCTTACAAGAGACAAAAGGAAAGGAAAGCAAGGAGAGAGCGGGGAACCCCACAGAACCAAGAAAGCAATGCGGGGAGCAGAGTGCGTCCTTTGGACCTGAGGATCTGCACAGAGAAGCTCCCAGACCAAGGGAAGACTGACGACACGGACCTTCCTCCAGAGCTGCCAGAAAAAGCGTTCTAGAGGACGCTAAGACACTGAGTAAGATTCAGAAAAGGTCTAGAGTAGCACTGTCCAACATGGTAGACACAGGTAGCTATTTAAGTTTAAATTTCAATTAATTATAATTAAGTACAATTAAAAGCCCTAGTTCCTAAGTCATCCTAGACATTTCCGGTGCTCAAGAGCCATGTGTGGCTCCAGCACACATACAAAACATATTTATCATCACAGGAAGTCCTACTGGATAGCACTGCTCTAGAGAAACCTGACTCAGCAGTCTCACTCCCTCAGAGGTCTCACAACCACTCATAGGACCTACTATGTGTCAGTCCCTGGCTGGGCACTGGGGGTGCAGAAATGAGCCGACACGCGCTCAGCCCTCAAGGTACAGCTGCATGATGGAGGCAGACACAGGAACACACAACCACCACAGAGGGCTGTTCCAGGGCTGTGGGTGCCCTGAGGCAGCACAGGCAGAAAAGGCTTCTTGGAGGACGTGATGCCTGTGTTGAATCATGAAGAAGCTGGGGGCAAGGAAAGGGTATAGGATTCCAAGCAAAGGGAATAACCTGATAAATGTTCTGAGGTGAGAGAGGGCTTCGCCCGCACAAACAAACGGAAGACCAATTTGGTGTTTCCGGGATAAACAGAGACAAGAAATGGTACAAGAGAAGCTGGAAATGTGAGCGGGGGGCGGGGGCAAAACAAACAAAAACAATCTTTAAGCCTAAAGGAGTTTGGACATTACTCCGAGAGCAAAGGGGCGAGAAATGACAGATCAAGCCGGCCTTTCAGAAGCATCCCTCTAGCTGTGCAAGGGAAGGTGCACAGGACGGAGGAGGGGTCACGAAGACAGGGAGCCTGCTCCATATCGAGCATCTTGCAACAGTCCAGGCGACAGAGGCGAGCTGATGGGGAGTGGGGGTGGTGGAGTTAAGTGGCTGATTGGAGTTAAGAGGTCAAATCAACAGGGCTCTGAGCTTAACTGGATGTGGGTGTTCGGAAGGGTGAGTTCAGGTGTCAGACTTGGGTGAATGGCAGGCCAGTCAATTGAGATGGGACACGGAGTGGCCGGGCTCAGGGAAAGAACGAGGTCAGAATCAGACACGCCAAGTATGCGCACGGGGGGACACTGGGCTGGGGGCATCGATGCTGGACTGGGGCCTGGGGTGAGGAGAAAGGTGGGCAACCGAGTCCACAGGTAGGGAGAAGCCGGGGCCCGCACCTTCCTGCGGCTGGACCCGCCGCCCAACCTCCGGTCTGCCCCCATCTTCCCCGCTGTCCCCAGATCTCCCCTCGCCGGGGGGCGGGTACGTGACATACCTCGCGGCGGATCCGAAATCGAACCGGGCCTTCTCTTGCCCGGCACCGCCCTGGGTTCCCGCCGGCCCCGGGCGGCAGCGGAGGTAGGAAGCGCCCGCCCGGGAGGCTGTTCGCGGCCTAACACGTGATTCCACGGGCCGGGCATCGCGCAGTGCGCATGCGCCGAACGAAGTGGGCGGAGCGTTCCGACAGGTGATTCGAAGAGTGGCCTTCCCAGTGCGCAAGCTCATCCAAGCAGGTAGCGCAGCGCACGGTAGAGGAGCTACGGGTAGCTTCCTCTGGGCGTCCAGCTTTTTACGCAAATACTGTAGGTAGTTCTCCTCCCCTCCCCCCTAACATATTTCCATTTACAACTTCCCGCCTCCCTCCCAGCCCGAGGCTCCTAGCCGCAAGTACTCCCGGCCTAGCCCTGTTGACTCGGGGGCGGGCCAAGGGCGGGAGGTGTCTCACTGCCACCTTCTTCTACCCCTCCTTCCTTACCTTCTCGGTGCATTTTGCAACTGAGTCTTCGTAGCTCACCTTGTTTTTCTTAATTATTCAACACTTAAATGTACCCCCTTTTCCAGTCAGAAGGAGGGTTGAAATGAACATCATCCCCCTCACACAGAAGAGGAAACGGGCTCAGAGAAACTTTCACTTGCCCAGGAAAATACAAAGCCAAGCTCTGTATCATCAGCAAAAATGCTGTAGTCTAGTGCCTTCCATCTAAAACAAACCTTGCCACTTTACTTACTCTTTCTGCCTATATCCTATCTCCACACTTTTAAAACCATTACTGTATTATGTTCGTAATTTCAAAGATCTTTTGGTTTCTTTGGACAAACAGCTTTTCCATCTTGCATTTAGGTGATTTCCCAGAGAAAGGACTGACTTTGCCGTTTTAAAATGAAGTCTCACTCCCATTTTTTGTTTGTTTATTCCTTCTAAATTATTTTAAAATTGTATTGTGGTGAAATACATATAACAGAAAGTTTGCCACTTGAACCATTTTTAAATGTACAACTCAGTGATGTTAATACATTCACCATGTTGTGCAGCCATCACAGCTATTTCCAAAAGCTTTTCATCATCCCACATAGAAACTTGGTACCCTTTAGTGGCTGCAACAATGGGCTCAAGCATAGCAACGATCATGAGGATGGCGCAGGACTAAGCAGTGTTCTGTTCCATTGTACACAGAGTCACTGTGAGTTGGAACTGACTCGATGGCACCTAACAACAACAGCTTTTAAGCAATAACTCTCCATTTCCTCCTTCCCCAGCCCCTGGTAACCACTAACAAACTTTTGTCTCTATATATTTGCCTATTCTAGATATTTCATGTAAGTGGGATCATACAGTATTTGTCCTTCTGTGTCTGACTTACTTCACCTACTTCACCATATTTTTGAGGTTTATCAGTGTTGTAGCATGTATCATAATTTATTTTCTCTTTATGGCTAAATAATATTCCACCGTTGTATGGGCATGCCACATTTTGTTTATCCATTCATCTGTTGATGGACACTTGGGTCATTTCCACCTTTTGGCTATTGTAAATAATACTGCAGTTGTCACCAGGTGGAAAACCCAGGTTCTTGGCTCGTCATGACTCATATTGGCCAATAAACAAGAGACCGAGGTGGGACAGCAGTAAAGGCACCTTTATTTTGTTGCGTAAGGAAAAGGAGTCAGTCAGAGCTACTGCCGCCAATACTGCTCCCCGAAGGTGAGGAGAAAAATTACTTTTAAAGGGTTTACAAGTTGGGAGTTAATACAAGTTTCATCAGCAACATTCTTAATCATACTATGTAGGCGCGATGGGGTTTACATATAACTTCTGAGCAAAGAAAACAGGATTTTAATGCTAAGTTGTGGAGGAGGAAGCCCCACAAAGGAAACAGGATTTTTAATGCAACACTGTAAGGGAGGAAGCCAAACAAAGAAAACAGGATTTTTAATGCAAAGCTGCTTGAGGCTCTGCCTTACGGCGAACACTGATGTACAAGTATCTGTTGAGTTCCTGCTTTTAGGTGTCTTAGGTGTACACCTAGAAGTAGAATTGCTAGGTCATGTAGTAACTGTTTGACTATTTGAGGAACAGCCAAACTTCTTCCATAGTGGCTGCCATTTTACGTTTCCACCAGCAATGCATGAGGCTTCGGATTTCTCCATATACTCGCCAAAACATGTTAGTTTCCATTTTTCTGAATATAGCCATTCTAGTGGGTGTGAAAGGAGCCCTGACGGTGAAGTGGTTAAGTGCTCAGCTGCTCACCAGAAGGTCAGCGGTTCAAACCCACCAGCCACTCCGTGGGAGAAAGATGTGACAGTCTGCTTCCATAAAGATTTACAGGCTTGGAAACCCTATGGGGCAGTTCTCCTCTGCCCTACAGGGTCTGGACAGCAATGGGTTTGGGTTTTTTTGGTTTAGTGGGTGTGAAGGAGCCCTGGTGGCGCAATGGTTAAGTGCTCAGCTACTAACTGCAAGGTTGGTGGTTCGAATCCATTCATCGGCTCCACAGGAAAAAGACCTGGTAATCTGCTCCCATAAAGATTACATCTTAGAAAACCCTATGGGGCAGTTCTACTCTGTCATATGAGTCAAAGATGACAGCACCTAACAACGAGGACTAATGACGTTGAGCATCTGTTTATGAGCTTATTGCCATTTGTGGATCTTCTTTGGAGAAATGTCTGTTCAAGTCCTTTGCCCATTTTATAATTATGTTGTCTTTTTTTGTCAAGTTGTATATTTTTAAATTTTTATAATGTACTATTTAGGGTCCACACAAAGATTCACAGCATTTCTCATTTTTTAGGATGCCAACTCCAGAAGGGCAGGGATGTTGTTTGTTCTCTAATGTATCTCCAGTGTCTAGAGCAGTGCATGGTACGTAGGGTTGTTGCTCTTAGGTGCTGTCAAGTCAGTTCCGACTCATAGAGACCCGGTGTACAACAGAACAAAACACTGCCTGGTACATAGTAGGCACTCAATATTTCCTATTTCTTATATTAATTAATAAATACATGGACACCTACCACGAAATTTAAGAAAAAACACTATAATACAGTTGAAACCACCTATACACCTCCCATATCGCAAAACTTCCCTTTCCCAAAGACGTGCCCACTATCCTGAATTTGGTGTTTTAGTATTTGTCTTAGTCATCTACTGCTGCTATAAGAGAAATACCACAAGTAGATGGCTTTAACAACGAAAAATTTATTCTCACAATCCAGTAGGTTGCAAGTCCAAATTCAGGGCATCAGCCCAGGGGAACGCTTTCTCTGTCGGCTCTGGAGGAAGGTCCGTGTCATCAATCTTCCCTTGGTCTGGGAGCTTCTCCGCACAGGAACCTCAGGTCCAAAGGATGCACTCTGCTCCCAGCACTGCTTTCTTGATGGTATGAGGTTCCCGTGTGTCTCTGCTTGCTTCTCTCTTTGTATATCTCAAAAGAGATTGGTTTAAGACACTATCTAATCTTGTAGACCTCATCAGTATAACCCACGCTAATCCATTTTATTACATCATAGTGGTAGAGTTTACAACACATAAGGAAATCACATCAGGTTACAAAATGGTACACAATCATACAATACTGGGAATCATGACCCAGCCAAGTTGACAGATATTTTGGGGGGACACAATTCAATCCATGACAGTATTCCTGAGCATTTCTTTTAATTTCTACTAGGTATGTATGTATCCTTAAGCAATATATAGTATTTTTTGCAAATTTTTAAACATTATGTCATTGGTCTCATACTGCATGTATCCTTCAACTTCTTTTCCCACTTAGCCCTGTTTGTAAGCTTCATCCGTATTGATACATACGCTTTTGAGTTGATTTATTTTCACTTCTGTATATTTCATAGTATGAAAATATACAATTCACTTTTCCAGTGATTTGCCATTACAAACCGTACTGTGAACATTCTTGTCCGTGATTCCTTATGTATTTGCCTAGAACATATACTTAAGAATGGAATTGCTGGCTCATAGGATTTCTACATTTTTCAAATTAAATATTGCCAAATTATTTCCAGTGGAGCCCTGGTGGCACAGTGGTAAAGCATTTGGCTGCTAACCAAAAGGTCAGCAGTTCGAATCCACCAGCCTCTCCTTGGCAACCCTATGGGACAGTTTTACTCTGTCGTATAGGGTTACTATGAGTCAGAATCAACTTGACGGCTATAGGTTTGGTTTGGTTTGGTTTTTAGTTTTTCTTATTGATTGTGGAGATCTTTATAACTTTGAACCTCTGTCCCTTCTCTGCAGTTATAAATACACATATATGTGTGTGTATATCCTTTTTTTTTTTTGCTGAACTATTTGAGAAATTTGTTGAAGACTGTCTTAGTCTCCTAGGATTGCCATTAAAAAGTACCACAAATTTGGTAGCTTAAAACAACAGAAATTTATTCTCTTACCATTCTGGAGGCCAGAGGTCTGAAATCAAGGTATCAGCAGAGCCGTGCTCCCTGAGAAGGCTCTAGAGAAAGATCCTTCCTTGCCTCTTCCAGCTCCTGGTGGCTCCTGGCATTCCTTGGCTTGTGGCAGCGTCACTCCAATCTGTCTTTGTCTTCACGTAGCCTTCTTCCCTGTGTGTTTGTGGCCAAACTTCCCTTTCCTTTCTCTTATAAAGATACCAGTCATTGAATTTAGGGCCCACCTAAAATCCTGGACTTCATCTAGAGACCCTTAACTAATTACATCTGCAAAGGCCCTATTTCCATATAAGGTCTCATTCTGAGGTTCTGGGCGGATATGAGTTTCTGGGAGACCCACTACAGACACTGTCTGAACCTTCCTGCAAATATTTCAGCAGGAATCTGCTAAGAACAAGGGTGTTCTCGTACAGAACAACAGTATTTTACCACCCTCATGGGATTTAACACTTAATATGAATTTACTCCATATGGGCATCTACAACTTATTTTTTTAAATCTAGGACCCAATAAAGGTTCATGCTGTACGTTTAGTTGTTATCATGTCTCTATTCTTTAAAGTCCCTCCGTGTTTTGTCTTTTGTGATATTGACTTTTTTTTTTTTTTAATATTGACATTTTTAGAGCGTGACCAGTTGCTTTGCAGAAATATCTTTCCTTCAATTTGGATTTGTCTGATAATTTTCTTATCAGTAGCTTCAGGTTAAATGTTTTTGGCAGGACTGTTACGTGGGTGGTGATGTGTTTCTCAGGGCCTCACAGAAGGTGATATCAGATGCCAGTTAAACCCATTGTTGGTTTCCACACACATATTAGAATTAACCTGCAAAGTTATACAAGAAACTCTACAAGATCTTGATTGGAATCGATTTATAAATAGAGATTAATTACATCTCTTTATTAGATTTATTCCTAGTACCTCATATTTTCTGTGCTGTGGAAGTCTTTTTTAAAAATTTTTGTGATAAATGGTACCTTTTAAAAATTACATTTTCTAGCTATTTGTTGCTAGAGACTATTTATTCCTGATATTATTTCCAGCAGTTTTATATAAACTAAATTTTGTTACATTGACATGGTTTGAAATTTAAGACACTTTTCACCCAGTGAAAAGTCCTCCTACCACCTCTTACCTTAGCCATTCAGTTCTCTTTTCCAGAGGCAACCAATGTAATCAATTCCTTATATATTCTCCCAGAACTATCATATAGATACAAGTATACTGTGTGCATACATTTATATATATGGTATGTTGCCATTAAATCAATGGCTGGGCCGGTAACAGACATAAACATCAGACGAAGGCCTATTGGGCGAAGTGCAGTTCGGTTTTATGATCTGCTGTTTATAAAGACTGTATCAGGACAGTCGTGGTTCAGTGATAGAATTTTTGTCTTCCATGTGGGAGACCCGTGTTCTGTTCAGGCTCAGTGCACCTCATGCACGGCAACAACTTGTCTGTCACTGGAGGCTTTTGTGTTGCTGTGATGCTGAACAGGTTTCAGCAGAGCTTCCAGACTACGACAGACTAGGAAGAAAGGTCTGGTAAACTACTTCTGAAAATCAGCCAGTGAAAACCCTATGGATCACAAGAGTCCAATCCCCAACTGATTGTGAGGATGGTGCAGGACTGGGCAGTGTTTCATTCCACCACGTGTGGGGTCGCCATGAATCAGGGGCTAACGTGACCACAGCTAGCAGTAACACAATGACTGCAGACCTCCCAAACACTCTGGAAAAATCAATTTACTGGAAATTTCAAAATAGATGACACAGCCATTCCCATTCAGTGTACTTTGCTACAATTCCATGTGCTTAGGAAAAGAAAATCAGAGCCTTTAAAAAACAGCAGACCACAGTCCTTCCTTGTCGAAGCCCTTCATTCTTCTTTCAGTGCATACAGCACGTCATCCTGGCTGACATTGAGCCGCACACGGAGAAGCAGGTCGTTCCTGCTGGGCTCCACGAGGAGGAGGCGACAGGAGCCCAGGCGTGAGCACACGGCCATGGTCTCGGACATGGTGGGGTAGGGCAGACCCTCCATTCTGCACATAGCCACGTGCTGACTGTACACCTACACAGGAGAAGCAAAGCTAAGGTGAGCTGCTAAAGGGTGCAGAGGAAAGGTATGACTGGGTCTGAAAAATGAGACGCTTTGTGTCCAGGATATGAAATACCCAAGAAATCATCAATGGATACCTCGATGGTACACAAACGCAGAGGGCAAAAGGCAATACTGGCCTTGGAGTCGAACACCAGGTCTGCATCCTGGTTCTGCCATTTACCTAGGTGTGCAACCCTGGGCAGTGACTTCATTTTCTGAGCTTCAGTTTTATCTATAAAATGTACTGCCATAACCCTCATGAATTAATGGATACAAAATACACAGCAATTGTTACTGTTACAAATAGTCCTGGTCTCCAGTGGCTGAGTGTCCACAACTAAGACTGTCATAATCCCAGTCAAGTTTTGCTACAAGGGCATTTTCCTTCCCAGATACAGTGAGCAGGTGCCACGGCATGACTTTTGGCAAAGCACAAAGGCCCAGAGAGAATACTGAATAAGGGGAGGCAGGAGGAGAGCCAGAACCCCATCACAAAGCCCCCCACTGGGTCAGGTAAGTCTGTGGCACTTCCTGGTAATTATCCACCCCCAACCAGAGTAAGAGCCTTTTAGGAGCAGAGATATTCACCGATTCAGCTCTGGGTCCCAGGCACTCATCAGTTAGTGACACGCTATAGGTGTTCAGGAAATGTTGACAAACTAGATTGAGTCACTCTGCAGAAGAGCTGTCTGGGGCTCTTAGAAGGGGGACGATAAAGGTCAAAACATGACCAGCAACTAAGTTTTTAATAAACAATGTACCAACCAGGAAAAAAAAAAACAAACAAACTAGTTGCCGTCAAGTCGATCCCAACTCATAGCGACCCTATACAACAGAGTAGAACTGCTCCATAGGGTTTCCAAGGAGCGGCTGGTGGATTCAAACTGACAACCTTTTGGTTAACAGCCTAAGCTCTTAACCACTGTGCCACCACGGCCCCTTAAACAATGTACCACCAATCCAGTAAAAAAGTAGCCGAAAGGAAAACGTTTTCTTGACCTCTCCATGTTAATTACATGAAGATGTCTACAATATACACCACAGACATAATACACACTCTCAGGTACAAACACATTGTTAACAATTCATCTTCTAAGGCAGCTCCTGACCTACCGACACCAGTCTTAAAGTGAACCCTTAAGGCACGTGCTCTAATGATTGCTTTTATGCGACCTTAGCATTCAGATTCTGATCTTTGCGATTTTTTTATACATGGTCTCGTTCTAGACACCTTGCCCCACTACAACATAAGATATAGTAGGGCAGTAACTTGTCTTGTTCATCTTTGAATCTCTCACTCCTAGAACAGCCTTTGGCACAGAGTAGGCCTTCCATCTAACATGCAGAAACCAGCTCCTAAAGGTGTCCATTACATAAAAAATAGGAGCTGGCCTGATATTCTTCAGCATAATCAGGGTGGCACAAAATAGACAAACTGATATACACTGATTGAAATTCCCATGTATTTTAAAGGCACCAGAACAAAACCCAGAAGGAGACTGATCACCTGTTGAAATGTTGCTTCCTCCAGGCCTGATCGACGGAACTCTGCAAGGATGGCTCTCAGGAAGCCCTGTTCCAGAACCGAGGAATTTCTTAAAAGAAACGAGGAGATGTGAGTTCTCCCAAGTGGCTGTACCACCAGCTGAGGGGAAAAGTCAAATAGTTTCTCTGTGTCTTTAGAAAAGAGAAAGAATTGGGATATGTGTTCCCGTATATTATTTGGCAAGGTTAGCCCTTCTGCCTAAAGTCTCAAACTGTTATGGAAAATGCTACTTCGGAAGTAAGGGGACACAGGAAGTACATCTGGAAATGCACCCGCGCTTCAGTGATACCAGAACCCTCATTCGTGAGCTGAGCGTATCATTCACTGTTGCCTGTTTCTTGTTCCTACAGCACTTGTACTCCATTATCACCCACAGTACAGCTACACTACAGTACAGCTCAACAAACAGTGATTATTATCTGAGGTTTACTGTTCTGTCTCCCTGACTAGACTACACCCCTTAAGAAAAAGGACATCTTCAGTAAATCCAGACTGAATGACTAAAAACTGAGAAAGGGAAACCTATTTCCCGGGCCTTCCCAGACTTTGGACTTCTTCAGAAAGGCCCAAGTTAAAGAACAGGAGGCATCTTACTTGATGGCCGTGATGTATGATGATGAAAACATCTCATCCACAGCTTCCATTAAGTGGGCCACAGTGACCAGGCCAGGGGAGCCGGGCTTCTGGTGGATCTCGCAGATCTCAGTGGCACGCCTGCAAATGTCCAGGCAGCGTCGTGCATCTCCAGAGAGGGCTGCTACCTGCAAGAGGGACACTTTTATCACTTGAGGTCCCCTTGCCATCTCAGCCCAGGAGCTCTATGCAATCTGGCCTTGGGATCCGAATGCCAGGTCTGAATCCTGGTTCTACCATTCACCTAGATGCCCAACCCTGGGCAAGTGACTTCACTTTCTGAGCTTCCGTTTTATCTATAAACTGTACTGTCGTATCAATTCTGTGTTTGGCTAAAAAGGAAAGGTGGTACTGGAAAGTTAAGTCCTTACTCCGCTGGGACTCTGTGGACGCATGGGAAGTAAAGTATTCTGCTCTGCCTGGGACTCTACTCCGAGTCCAAACCTTTGTCTTGGTTTTACGGGTAACTCCACAATGGAAAGGGCAGACATTCTCAGCTTTATTCAGTATTAAGGAAAATGAAGTCTCGAAGAAGACACCCTTAGCCCAAGATCATCACTGATTCATCTGAAAACAGGAGAGTTCTTGTTCCTTGCAGGAAGACAGCAGTGTGACCCTACAAGCAGCCAAGCCAAGAGACAGCAGAGAACCTATGTGGAGATAAAGCCACAGCATGGGGCTTCCTTGCAGCATGTTGTAAATCTGGGGGGCTGCCTAGTCAATGGCTAGGACAACACGAATCAGGAATGGGGAAAAGAAAGGAAACCACAAAGCCTGAGGACCCAGAGGAATCAGACCAACCCACAACAGCTCTGCTGCTGCTCCTCCCTTTCCATGTGCACAGAGGCTGAGGGGCTCCTGGGCTCCTTCCGCAGGGAATCTTCTATCCTCTCCCAACCTGACTTAGAAGGCCACTTACATTTTAACTTTCAGTGAGGGAATTTTTTTTTAAAATAATATATTTTTGTTGTTGAGAATATACTCAGCAGAACATACACCAATTCAATAATTTTTCCTTGTACAATTCAGTGACATTGATTACATTCTTTAGGTTGTGCAACCATTCTCACCCTCCTTTTCTGAATTGTTCCTCCCCCATTAATAGAAACTCACTGCCCCCTAAAGTTCCTATCTAATCTTTCAAGTTGCTGTTGTCTATTTGATCCCACATAGAAGGCTCTTAAAAGAGCACAATGCTCAAGGCAGACGTTCTTTACTAGTTCAGCTAAATTGTTATTTGATTTTGAGAAGACTTCAAGGGATATTTTTGGCTTAAGGTTTAAAGATTATCTCAGGGCAATAGTTTTAGGGGTTTATCCAGCCTCCATGGCTCCAGAAAGTCTAGATTCCATGAGTAATCTGAAAATCTGTTCTGCGTTTTCTCCCTTTTGATCAGAATCTTTGACCAAAATGTTTAGTAATGAATGGTAGCCGGCCACCATCCAGTTCTTCTGGTCTCATGGCAAAGGAGGCACCACTGAGGGAATCCTTGTACTCCCTGCAGCCTGCAAGGACTTCTCAGTTTCTTTATTCTCAATACTTGTCAACAATCTCCACCATTCACCTGATGACCATCACACCCTGCCTGGTACATCTCTAAAACGATTATCTCCTTCCAAAATTTATGATATAGTAAGATTAAAAAGCAAACTGAATAGGCATACACACATATGTAAATATATATAAACACGCACACAACATACCAAGACATTAACAGTAGTCATCTCTGGGAAGTGGGACTTCAAGTGTTTTAAAATGTTTGTGTCTATTTCTGTTGTCAGAATTCAAATGTAGTACAAGCTAAGAGACCAAAACACCAACAGATAAAAGCATCTTGGAGGAAAAAGAGAGATGACACCTGACATATATAGAATGACACACAAAAAAAGGACTGTTCAGAGAAAAATAAGAACTCTTAGAAACTGCATGATAGCAGATAGCAGAAGCAAAAAACTCTACTGAATAGAAGGGTTAGATGGTAACTTTGAGGATCTCTCTCTTAGGAATTGTCTCCTAGAAGGCAAAGTCTGGAGGCAGGCACCATATCTTGCTCACCTCCAACCCCTGAACCTAATACAGTATCCAGCTCCAAGCAGGTGTTACAGACGTGTGCTGCTGCTGTAAGCATTCAGAGTTCAGATCATTTGGAGCAAGAAGAAAACTAGAAATCAGTTTATAATTCTTTTCAATGCTGAAATATTTGTGAATTTGTGGTTTCTTTTTCTATCAGCTTGAGGCAGGTAGTTAACCCATTTTGTTCCTCAGCTGGCTCAAAGACTGGTCTGTAGGATGGAATCTTTCTCCTAGTGAACTTGGAGGACACAGGTATCCAAAATCCCATATCTGGCATAGAATGTGTACTTTGCTAGGCATGTTATAGACATGATCTCAATTAACTCTCACAAGGACCCTATAAGGTAGCTATTATTATTCCCATTTTTCAGAGAAGAAAACTGAGGCTCAAGGAGATTTTTAAGTAACTCTCTTATAACCTCCCACCTGCCTAGTAAATGTTAAAGCCAGAATTCAAACCAGGTTGGTCTACCTGACTCCAATTACACTGCCCTCTTCATTATATAAAGCTGTTTGCTCCCTGAATTAATTATGTTAATTTGAATACATGCCCACCATACTTACAGCCTTCTAACTGGATTATTCAGTAAGAAGGTTAAGGAATTTTTCAGTTTTGTTTCTATTTTTTGGTATTTGCTTTTACAGGACTTCCTAAACTTCAGCCTTGAAGCATGCAGCATAGGGCCTCACACCCAGCAGGTGCTCACGACTGTGACTGCCCTGTAGGTGCAGATAGGAGCTCCCCAAAGGCGACTTACCTTCCTGGCTACCAACTGGATGGCATCATCCTCAAAGGCCTTTACATGTTTGAGTCGGGACATTAGGATCTGCTGCAGTTGGCTGTGAGTGTAGGGCTGAAAGGACATCCTGGTGAGACCCTGGGGGCCAAGATGACAGAGAAATAAGGTCACCAAATGCCAACTCTGATCGTCCAGGTGGAAAGCAAACCCACAGGTCCTAAGCCCGATTTCCAAGTGCCATATAGCAATCCACACAACACTTCATCCCGGGACTGTTTTCAGCTCCTTTCGTTGCTGACAGTGGCCAATCTCATCCTGTAGAGCAGTAGTTTTATAGCTATTTTTTCATTTCATTTAAGAACCTTTTATTGTAGCAGAATTGTTAAAACTATTCGAAGTAGAGGTGCTCTACTCAAAGCGGGTGGGAAGATCTTAGGATCTACTATGATATGCATGGCCATAGCCCCTGACTTCCCTCATCCTGCTTATAAGTATTTCTTTGATGTTGTACTTCCTGATCCGTGAAGGCAGAGCCACGTCTGCCTTGTTCACTGCTATACTCCAAGCATCTAACACTGCCTGGCACATTAGAAGTGCCTAAATATTTAAAAAAATAATTAAACCTCCATGGCTCTGTGCAATTTTAAAAGAGCACAGGCAGAAAAACACCAAGAAGCTGTGATGCTTGCAGAAAGTCACACAATGGTGACACATTTAATTCCAACATAGGAAAATCATGCTTCCTACTTTTTTCCATTTATTTTAGTTTCCTGTGTGTTCATTTTTGCAGAACTCTTTGGTCTAGCTTACAGGCTGTAAGAACAGCTCGAGAACTGCCCTAGCACCTACCAGTCGGCTTGCCACCCGGTTCATCATGATTCGCTCTGGCAGGTCCATTGTGTTGGCAATGGTCAGGACCACTAGCCGCGCCTCCTTGTGAGTGGGCCAGTCAAAAAGACTGTACATTACATCTTGTTTCTGAGTCCACAGGAGGTCAAGCTGTCAAGGAAATGGCAAGATATGCAGGGTCAGCCCCAGAGTGTTACCATTGTTTTGGCTGCACGTGTTTCCCAGGTCATACCACCAGAGCAGCAAAGGGGAGGTCAAGAGAGGTCATTCCCCAAGTTGGGACATATCCCTTTCACCACCAGAGAAGAGGCTCAGATTCATGAAGGACGGAGCCAGGACTTCCTTCCTGCCCAGTAATTACTCCTGGCACACTGGTCATGTGTGGTCCCATCGCTCCCCTGGTCCCTGTGGGCACCTCCTTACCTCGTCCACAAGCAGCACAGTGGTTTCCGGGGGGGAGCCTCGTGCGCAGAATCGCTTTGCCAGCAGTTCTGCCGCGTGGTTGGCTGTTGCCTTTTGGCCTGTCAGCTTCTGCATTAGGGGAAAAACACCGTAAGCTGTGGTAAACCCTAAGGGTTTTACTCCTCTGGGCTTAAAGCTAAATCTGGAAGCAGACAAAGCTACTTAGTCTGAGGACTTCAGTATCACTCTAGTCTCAACCTTAACCTGGAAGGACAAGAGAAGGCACTAAATGAGAAAGATAAAAAAAAGGAAGAAAATCTGTGTTTGAAATTCAAACGAGTCACAAGCTGTTCCCAGAAACCCTTCTACAACCATTATTACATGACCATAAAGCCCCAACAGCTTTGCTTACCTGTAAGATCTGCACATAGATTTGGTGGGGCTCTGTCAGCTTCATGCCATTGACCTCAATGTATTCAAAGTGTGGAACATCGTTTGCTTGCGCTGCCTGCTGCAGACAGCGAATCACCTCGTGCACAGTAGCAGTCTTTCCTGTCCCAGGGACCCCGGAGATGTAGACGCACCTAGAATAAGAAAGGAAGACCCGCAGGCTGGGTCTGTGCCAGCCGCCTCACACGACAATCAGCCAGGAGTGTGGGAATGTGTCCTGAGGGAAGGACTGACACCCCTGAAATGTGGAGGTGAGAGCAGTGAGGACCATCCTTGAAAGATGGTGAGAGTAGGACCTGTTTATACAGAACCATCTGTTCCACAAGCAATGCTATACGCAAACCCCCTACCCAAGGAAGGCCAGTTTCATTCTTTCTGAAAAGCGGAATTTCTATTCCTATACAATTACTTTGGCAACACCTGCTTCATAAGCTTTAGGCAATGATTTTGCCTATGCTCCTCACACTGAGGAAAGATCATCTGACTGAACTGTAACCCGAGAGGTGGCATACTCTCAGGGTCCTTCCCCTCCAACCATGCTGCCCGCCAGCATGACTCACCCTCCAGTACGGTCAAGGAGTTTGCCTTCCACAAAGTTGTAGATGTCCTGGAATTCCTGTTCCCGACAGGGGAGAGACTCAGGAACGGCAGAAACATGCAGCCTACAGTTATGGTAAATGGAGAAAAGGACGACTTTAGAAACGTTTCACCATCTCCTCAATCATAAACGGAGACTTGTCTATAGTTTCTACATCAAACCTCAATCACACATCCAAGGGAATGCATTCATTCTTAATTTTCTCCATTTGGCCTCATAACCCTTGGCCTCCCTTTCTATGCCTAAATCACCCAACTGAGTGGTTCTTAACCAAGGGCAGGTATCACCCAGAGAGCTCACCTAAGTCACGTCGGTGGGCATCATCCCATGAGACTGGCTTAGTTGATTTCTGGCAGGATCTAGGCTTATGTGTTTTAGAAAAGGTCCCACATGGTTCTTTGGAATACTGTAATTGAGAAGCGGGGTCCTGACTACCCATCCTCCAGCCCTGAGAAAATGATGGCAGCTGACTGGACGGTTGACTCCCCCCAGAGCCTGTGAGCTCACCTAGATGCTCCTGACAGAGGCTTCTTCTTTCTAAACACACACGTTCACTTCACTCTACCTTTATTAGGTATGCGAATGACTGCAGATTACCCCCACCTTATGGGAACGAAGCAGAGGCCCATCTCCCTTACCTCAGCCGGGCCTCCTCCAGCACGCTGGCTGGCTCCTGGGCAGCCAAGCTTCGGCTGCGGATCTGGGGCGTGGCCCGACATGGGGTTCTACGCTCAGGCTGTATTCAAAAGGAGAACACATTTCAGAAAGGGGAAAAAACAAAACAAAACACCATCCAGTGCACCTCAGCAAATCTGAAGAAAGGAAGACAGGTGGTGAAGTCCTTAGTTCCTTCCTATAAAGCACCACGATTCTCCCTCTTTCACTTCACAATTACACATATGCTTTGTTTATAGCCCAAACACGTTTTCTTTTTTCTAATTCATATACAGTATCAGGATTTGAGAACAGTGTCAATATGAGGTAAGAATGAATAAAAGTATGGATTAAATGCTATTTAAAAGTAAGATATCATCTTGAAAGAACGACAAGAAATTAAGAAACCCTGTCTGTGTTGTCCAAATACAAGGTACAATAGGAGGCTTGAGTCAAGTCATTTTCTAGATTTATTTGAAAAGGTGATAGAACTTTAACTCAGATCTTCCACATTCCACAATAAAGTTCTTGAGGAAGCCTCACAGGATTTTTCCACTCCAAACCCTAGGGTCACTGCTTAGTCTTGGGTAACAACCCTGTTCTCTTTCCTTCCTTGCTGCTGGGCTCTTTGTAGGTTCTTGGGTGGTGCAAACAATTTGTACTCAGCTACTAACCTAATGGTTGGCAATTTGAACTCACCTAGTGGCACCACAGAAGAAAGGCCTAGGTGATCTGCTTCCGTAAAGATCACAGCCAAGAATATCCTATGGAGCAGTCCTACTCTGTAACACACTGGGTCACCATGAGTCGGGATTGACTCCATGGCAACTGTTTTGTTTTCGCTGGATTCCTTACAGCAGGCCTGCTACCCCCATCTTCATGGTAGTTTCTGCAAAGTATTTTAACTACCCCCCCTCCCCCAATCTAGGCTGTAAGAGTGATGATAATTTCTCCATCATTTCCTCAGGCAGAAATCTCTCAGACCCTGAGAGATCTTTTCATTACCATTGGCATGAACGAATGCCAGCTACTTGTTCTGCCTCTGTACCTCAGAGATAAGGCATTATTCCCATTCTAATTTAGTGTCCAGGTGGGTCCCTTTTGAAATGCGGGAAGCTCGACAGACTGGAGTTGGAGCCTCACTGTTGTATAGGTTGAGCAGTCTATTAGGTGATGCTTCCTGGATGTGTTAATTTTGTAAACTTTTGCATTTTTTCCCTTTATTTCTGTGAGATAAGGCTTGAAAGCATAATTATAACTTTCCTGTGTGATAGTTAGGGAGCCTTGATGGGTTTGTTTTGGTTTTTCTGTGTCAAATTTAGAAAACCAGAGGTTCCTCGTGTAACCTAATGGAAAGGCTCCAGCAATAAATTATATACCTAGTTCTCAGTGGCATACTGTCATGCCACAGATAGGTGGCGCCAAAGTGCCACTGACCTCAATGGTGGATTGTATTGTCAGATTATATTTCTCAAAACCCGTATCACCAACCAAAACTTTAAACACACTCAGTAAGCATGCACTCCAATACTGAAAACACATGCCATCAAAAAATTAACAAAAATTTGGTAACAAAAATGGCTTTCACCAATTAACAAAATCTGAAAATACCTGAGAAGGTAATCAAGCAGCTAGGTGGACTTTTGACCTTCATTTTTATTGTGCTGAATGTGTTTCCACACCCTATATCCCCGCTTCCTAGTGGGACCCAGGAGATGCAATCAAATGAGAACAATGGTGAGCTATTTGCAATGTGAAGAACTCCAGGTAAGATAACCTCTAGCCCAAATAAGCTCTTCCTTTCCCTGGAAGTCCTTCTTCCATCTCAACCCAAGCCCAATCCTTGGGTCTCCTTGATAGGGAAAAAAAGAGAACCTTTTTCAGTGGTGGCACGGTGGTTAAGAGCTATGGCTGCTAATCAAAAGGTCTACAGTCCGAATTCACCAGCTGCTCCTTGGAAACCCTATGGGGCAGTTCTACTCTGTCCTATAGGGTTGCTGTGAGTCAAAATTGACTCAACAGCAATGGGTTTGGGGTTTTTTTTTTTGTTTGTAAGGAGAAAATATTGAAAATACTGAAGTTGTCAAGGATTTCATTTTACTTGGATTTACAATCAACACCCATGGAAGCAGCAGTCAAAAAATAAAATGACATACTGCATCGGGCAAATCTGCTGCAAAAGACCTCTTTAAACACAATCCCAATCCAAATACCAAGAGCATTCTTTAAAGAAAAGGAAAAAGTAATCATTAACTTTATACGCAAAGGGAAGAGGCCCCACATAAGTAAAGCACAACTGAAGAAGAATAAAGTAGGAGGACTCCCACTACCTGACCTCAGAACCTACTATACAGCTACGGTAGTCAAAACAGCCTGGTACTGGTACAACGACAGATACATTGACCAATGGAACAGAATTGAGAACTCAGATGTAAATCCATCCACTTATGGTCACCTGATATTCTACAAGGGCTCAAAGTCCATCAAATGGGGAAAAGACACTCTTTTTAACAAACAGTGCTGGCAAAACTGGATGTCCATCTGCAAAAAATTGAAAGAGGACTCATATCTCACACCATACACAAAAACTAATTCAAAATGGATCAAAGACCTAAATATAAAACCAAAAACTATAAAGATCATAGAAGAAAAAATAGGATCAATGCTACAGGCCTTAATACACGGCATTAACAGGATACAAACCATAACTAACAATACACAAACTCCAGAAGATAAGCTAGATAACTGGGATCGTCTAAAAATTAAACACTTATGCTCATCAAAAGATTTCACCAAAAGAGTAAAGAGAACCTACAGACTGGGAAAAAATTTTTGGCTATGACAAATCCAACGAAAGTCTAATCTCTAAAATCTACAGGAAAGTCCAACACCTCTACAACAAAAAGACAAATAATCCAATTAAAAAATGGGAAAAGGAAATGAACAGACACTACACCAAAGAAGACATTTAGGCAGCTAACAGACACATGAGGAAATGCATGGATCACTAGCCATTAGAGAAATGCAAATCAAAACCACAATGAGATGCTATCTCACCCCCCACCCCCAGTCAAAAAAACAAATGCTGGAGAGGCTGCAGGTAGACTGGAACTCTTATGCACTGCTTGTGGGAAGCAAAATGGTACAACCATTTTGGAAAAGGATATGGCGCTTCCTTAGAAAGCTAGAAATGGAATACCATATGATCCAGCAAACCCACTCCTAGGAATATATCCTAGAAAAATAAGAGCCATCACAGGAATAGACATATGCAAACCCATGTTCATTGCAGCATTGTTCACAATAGCAAAACGATGGAAACAACCTAGATGCCCATCAACAAATGAAGGGATAAACAAGCCATGGTATATACATACAATGGAGTACTATGCAATAATAAAGAAAATGATGAATCTGTGAAGCATCTTCACAGCGTGGATGAATCTGGAAGGCATTATGCTGAGTGAAATAAGTCAATTACAAAAGGACAAATATTGTACGAGACCACTACTATAAGAACTCATGAAAAGGTTTACACACAAAAAGAAACAATCTCTGATGGTTATAAGGGAGGGGAAGGGTGGGGATGGAAAAACACTAAATAGACAATAGATAAGTGGTAACTTTGGTGAAAGGTAATACAGTACACAATAATGGGGAAGCCAGAACGACTCCTCCAAGGCAAGGTCATGGAAGCTCCAGAGACAATTCAAACTCCCTCAGGGACCAAATTACTGGGCTGAAGGCTGTGGGGACCATGGTCTCCGGGAACATCTAGCTCAATTGGCATAACACAGCATATAAAGAAAATGTTCTACATTTTACTTTGGTGATTAGCGTCTGGGGTCTTAAAAGCTTGTGAGTGGCCATCTAAGATACTCCACTGGTCTCACCTTGTCTGGAGCAAGGGAGAATGAAAACCCAAGACACAAGGTGAAGATGAGTCCAAAGGACTAACAAGTACCACGGCCTCCACCAGACTGAGTCCAGTACAACTAGATGGTGTCCGGCTACCACCACTGACTGCTCTGACCGGGATCACAACAGAGGGTCCCGGACAGAGCTGGAGAAAAATGTAGAACAAAATTCTAACTCACAAAAAAAGACCATACTTACTGGTTTGACAGAGACTGGAGAAACCCCAAGTGTATGGACCCCGGACACCCCTTTAGCTCAATAATGAAGTCCCTCCTAAGGTTTACCCTTCAGCCAAAGATTAGACAGGCCCACAAAACAAAACGAAACTAAAGGGGCATACCAGCCCAGGGGCAAGGACTAGAAGGCAGGAGGGGACAGGAAAGCTGATAATAGGGAACCCAAGGTCAAGAAGGGGAAAGTGTTGAAATGTCGTGGGGTTGGTAACCAATGTCACAAAACAATACATGTACTGATTGTTTAATGAGAAGCTAGTTTGTTCTGTAAACCTTCATCTAAAGTACAATAATTTTTTAAAAAAGACCTCTTTAAAGTTTTAAAAGGCAAAGATGTCACTTTGAGAACTAAGGTGCACCTGACTCTAGCCATGGTATTTTCAATCGCTTCATATGTATGCAAAAGCTGGACAATGAATAAGAAAGACCAAAGAAGAACTGATACCTTTGAACCATGGTGTTGGCATAGAATATTGAATATACCATGGACTGTCAGAAGAACAAACAGGTCTGTCTTGAAGAAGTACAGCCAGAAGGCTCCTTAGAAGCGAGAATGGTGAGATTTCGTCTCACATACGATGGACATGTTATCAGGAGGGACCAGTTCCTGGAGAAGGACATCATGCTTGGTAAAGAAGAGGGTCAGTGAAAAAGAGGAGGACCCTCAGTGAGATGGATTGACACAGTGGTTGCAACAATAAGTTCAAACATAGCAACGACTGTGAGGATGGTGCAGGACCAGGCAGTGTTTCCTTCTGTTGTACATAAGGTCAGTATGAGTCAGAGACGACTGGATAGCACTGTTATGGATTGAATTGTCACCTTGGCTAGGCTATGATTCCCAGTACTGTGTGACTGTCCACCATTTTGTCATCTGATGTGATTTTCCTATGTGTTGTAAATCCTACCTCTATGATGTTAATGAGGCAGCATTAGAGGAAGTTATGTTAATAAGTCAGGACTCATTCTATAACATTAGGTTGTATCTTGAGTCAATCTCTTTTGAGATACAAAAGAGAGAAGTGAGCATAGGGATGAGAGACCTCCTACCACCAAGAATTAAGAATGAGGAGGGGACTCTGCACTGAGAATCTCCTAGACCAGGGGAAGATTGATGACAAGAACAAGGACCTTCTCCCAGAGCTGACAGAGAGAGAAAGTTTTCCCCTGGAGCTAGCACCCTGAATTCAGACTTCTAGCCTCTTAAACTGTGATAGAATAAATTTCTCTTTGTTAAAGCCATCCACTTGTGGTATTTCTGTCACAGTAGCACTAGTTAACTAAGACAGGCGCCTAACAACAACAACAACCATTTCCCCTACTACTCGTCTGTCAGTTTGTCCTGCTGTGGTGGCTTGCATGTTGCCGTGATGCTGGAAGCTATGCCACCAGTATTTCAAATACCAGCAGGGTCACTCATGGTGGACAGGTTTCAGCGGAGCTTCCAGACTAGGACAGATTAGGCAGAAGGACCTGACAATCTACTTCTGAAAAAATTAGTCAGTGAAAACCTTATGGATAGCAGCCCAACATTGTCTGATACAGTGCTGGAAATACAGCCAAAATCCTCCTTATAAGAGAGGATAGTGAGATTTCATGTCACGTTACTTTGGACACGTTATCAGGAGGGACCAGTCCTTGGAGAAGGACATCATGATTGGTAAAGTACAGGGTCAGGGAAAAAAGAGGAAGACCATCAATGAGATGAACTGACCCAGTGACTGCAACAGTGGGCTCAAACATAGCAATAATTGTGAGGATGGCGCAGGACCGGGCAGTGTTTCGTTCTGTTGTATATCGGGTCGCTATGAGTTGGAACCGACTTGACGGCACACAACAACAACAGCATTTCCCCTGAGAAGTCTCTGAGTGGTATGCAAAGGGTTAAGAGCTGGAATACTAGCCCAAAGTTTGGTGGTTTGAACGCCTAGAGGCGCCTCTGAAGAGAGGCCTGGCTATCTGCTTCCAAAAGCAGCCTTGAAAACCTTATGGAGGGCAGTTCTCCAGGGCAACTAACAATAACGACAACAACAACAAAGCATTTCCCAACTGTGTTCCACAGGACAAGACACTCCAAGGAAAAAGTAAAAGATTGGGAAACTCACACACGAATGTGACTAAGGTCACAATGAATATTGATAAATTAATGGCCCTGAGAAGTCATATGTTTAACCCAAACATTTCTCAAACATCTTTGAACATGAGAGGATTCTTTTTAATACTTTTTACTGCTCCAGGTTTCTCATGCGTATCAGGAGACAACAATTATGTACAGTGTTTTGCTAGGTTTTGTGGGAAATGCAAAGGTGAGGAGACAGTTTTTATTCTTCCTTCAGGAGGTTCATCTCTTGACCATTTGGTTTTGTACCTTAAAAGGAACTTGATCTCAAAAACCACTGTCTACTGGATTCACTCTCAGTCCTAGGGTTCACTAAGGTCCTTTCCTCTAGGAATATTCCAAGTGGAATAGCTTTGAAATAGGATAGACCTATGCTCAGAATCCAGCTGTGTGTAACAGTGGCCATCACAGCTTTTAAATTAAGAGAGGGTTACTTCACTAAAAGAGCCTTACAGTTTTCTTTGGTGTCTTGGAGGGAGTCTGAGAGGATGACTTCATGGAAGAGCGTCGGTTCCTGGACACATGGCTGGGTGTTCTTGGGAGGGGTGGCGTGGAGGCCTCTTCTTCCTCACTGCTAGAGTCTGAAATCTCTGCTGCTGGTAGATACTCTTCCTCTTCTTGGTTGTTTTTGCTACTACCTAAATACCTGGATATTGAGAATATTATTTTTCTTATATACAGTGTTCAAAGTCTAAATAAAAGAAGCTTCATGAGAGGTCAGTGTGGAGTACAGGTATTGCCAAGTCCCCCCTAAGATCAGACAATATAGGATTTGCTCAACTTCTTGGGCACTTACTACTGATACACTCTGCTAAGTGCATTATTTATATTATCTCACTGAAACCCTCAACAACTTTGTGAGTATTATTATTCTCATTTTACAGATGGGGAAATTGAGACTTAGAAAGGTTAAGTAACCTTCCCAAGGTTACAAAGACAGTGACAAAGCCCAGGTTCAAATCCAGGTCTATCAGAATCAAAGCTCATGCTCCTAGGCACCCACAGCACAGTTTCCCACCACCAGTCCTGTTGAGCATGATGACTACTGGGCTCTGGGAGCCACTAAAGCCCAGGGCAGTGGTTTTTTTTCCTCGTCCTAACTATGACATTTATGTGAACTTAAAGTACTTCCAGACATACTAGGTGAAAGGTTAATTTCAGCATATTAGCAAATAACAAACAGTATAAGAGGCTTTAAGGGAAAAGGTTATAGATATCACAGATGGCAGCTATCAATGTTTTTCTGTGGAGAAGCGGCCTTACCGAAGCTGCTGCCTAATCCGATTCAAAGTCAAGACAGAACTCTTTCTGTGGACACGATGGGGAGTGGATGTAGCTTCATTCTGAGCTTCTGGTTCTTTTACCTCCCTGCAGATATCACAGCGAGGTTATGGAAAGCAGTTCTGGGCATGAAGGATCAGCAGCAGGCACTAGAAGTCAGCTGGCCTGACTAGCTCCTATCCCTTTCACAACTACTTTGGAAGGAACTAATGACCTTTTGCTAAAAAAAAGTTCATACCTGAAGCTCGAATCAAACCCAGAGATGAAAATTGGCCAAAAGCGTATCCTTTAAATCAGAACCACATCCCCCATCTCCCCAAGGAGAGACCAGAAGACACTAATCCCAGGCAGTTCTTTGTCCTGTTTTGTTTACTGTCCACCCAGGTTCAAGGTTAACAGAAATGCAGCTATAATTCAATATAAAGCATTTATTGAGCAACTGATTATATGCCAGGTATTAGAGTTTCTGTGCAGGAAACATGTAAACTCGTAATTTCTGGCTTGTCCCATTTTATATTAGCAAATCTACAAACATTGTCTAATGTCAAACTGCTAAGTTTATTGTAGAAGCATTAGCTTTTTATACTAGATGTATTTCAGAATGATTTTTCAGTTTAAAAAAACTAAGAAAATGACTTAAAATGAAATCCAGGTCTGTGAAGCAATTCAGGTTTGTGAAATTATCCTCAAGAGCTGTGATCCTCAAATAATAACCAAGTGTATCAGAATCATCCAAAGAACATTTTAGAAATACAGATTCCTTGGCCGTATGCCTGAAGATTGATCTACTAGGTCTGGGAAGAGGCTCAGAAATCTGTATTTTAGAAAAGTTCCCCAGTGATTCTGTGACATAATCAGGTTTGCAACGCACTGCTCTAATATTTTTTCACTGTGGCCCACACCTTTCACATCATGTACAGGATCTTGATTTGCTCTGTGGGAGGCAGGGTGACGTCCCGAGTTACCTCTTTTTGATATTTTCTGGTTTCAGGACCACATCAGGAACCTCTGAGGATTTCCGTCCCCCTCTGATAGGGGAAAGTGTTTTATCCTCACTAATCCCTGTGGCTTTCAAAGCTGGGACTCGGGTTCTCAGGGTCATGTGACATTCAGTTGAAGACTTCTTGTCGTCCTTGGTACAAGAGGCTTTCAGAGATGGAGGCGAGGTCTGAAGTTCATCAGGCTGAGGTCTCTTACAAGGGGAGGTGACCTCAGAGGCCACCTTCCGCTTAGTTCTTTCTGGAGAACCCAAAGAGGCACATGCATTCTGCTGGGAAGTCCTAGAGTTTGGTGTCCTAGGGAGACCTAAGCCCAAGAGAAATCACCACAGACATGGTATGAATTTTATAAGTAGCACTATTCATACCCCTAATCTCATTAACTAAATTCATCCAATAAGGTTATACAAAGACACGATTTCTCCTTATTTTGAATTACTCCATGCTTTCTTTTCCCACGCAGGTATCATTTTTGGCCTTTTAAAATTCATAAGCGATTTCCTAGTTAGAACCACAAGTCAGCTGTTAAGCTAGCTTTTGTAGATAAATGTTCAGCAATTGGGTTTCCCCAGAGTAACCTATGACAGTGGTTCTCAGCGAGTGAGGTCCTGGGTGGTACAAACAGTTTGTGCTCAGCTCCCATCTGAAAGGCTGGCAGTTCAAACCCACCCAGCGGTGATGTGGAAGAAAGGCCTGGTGATCTGCTTCCATAAAGATTACAACCAAGAAATCCCTACGGAGCTCAGTTCTACTCTGTAACACTCACTGATTCAACGGCAATGGGTTTGGTTTGGTCTCAGTGGAGGGTCATGGGGTCATAGGGTAGTGAACCCTCCCACTCCATTCCAAGGCATCTGAAAATATTTATACTAACTAAACATGTGCTAGTGCCTCTACTAAGTAACACTAAGGCCTACATTTTTCTTAATCCAGACTTTATTTACCAACAGAGAAAAAACAGATTCCTGGGGGCAATCAACTGGGGATAGGAATGGGTATTAACATATAGAACCACATGGGTCTGCTCCTCCCTCACCATGACCACAGGTGCCAAGGGCCCCAGTCATTCACCACAGATATCAATTGATCTGTTAAGATGGGAAAGTATGTGCCAGGCACTAGGAGGAAATAAAAGTTGAATGAGACTCAATCCTGGTCCCTATCCAAGACACTCAAGTACAATGAGGAAGATGGACATTAATGTCTATACTATGAAGTAAAGTAAATGCCCTACAATACCTAAGCACTAATAAAGATAGCTTTTAAGATAGGCCTTGAAAGGAAGACAAAATTTCAACAGAGTTGAAACCGGAAGGTGAAAGAATATATCAGGAGAGGAAAGGAGGTATCGATGTACGTTAAGGAAGTGAGGCTGGAAAGCACTGAGCACAGAGTTTACTTTAGTCACATGCATTGAATATGGGGCATAGCTTCAGGTAAGGCTAGAAGAGTTATGGAGTACATGTATGTGAATGCTTATGGCAGCTTCAGTCTGTCACCAAAAACTAGAAACAACCCGAATGTCCTTAGACTGGCAATGAATAAACTGTGGTACATCTATGCAATGGCATACTACTCAGCAATAAAAAATGAACAGACGTGGATAAATGGAACAACATGGATGAATCTCAAACGCATCAGGCTAAGTAAAATGAGCCAGACTCAAAAGTCTACGTGATTCCATTTATATGACATTCCAGACAAGGCAAAACCATAGACACAGAAATCAGATCTCTGTGAAGGAGGTGAAGGGAAGAGTTAACTACAAAGGGGCACAAGGGAATTTTGGGGTGACAGAACTGTTCTATATCTTGCTTGTAATGGTGGTTATACAAACACGTGTCGGTTAAAACTGTACACTAAAAAGGGAACCTTTACTGTATGTAAATAGACCTCAATAGACCTGACTTTTAAAAAAGTTATCTAGAGCCACATCTAGAGGTCTTTGAATATGAAGCTAAAATTATTCAATTGGTAGATATGAAGGTGACTCATGTCTAATATAAAAATGTCCCAGACCCCTTACCTCTATTAATTTCAAATCTTTCTGTGAAAACAATTCATCTAAAATATTTTCACCATATATTCCCTCCAAGTAAGTAACTGTATCAAGTCAAAATTCTTCGGTCTAACATTCAAGGTCCTGCATAATCAACAGTCAAAAAATACTGAAATAATTTCTAAATGCTAGTATTACAGATTATTTCTTTAGCAGTTTTTCTGCATTTTCCAAATTTTTATGTATTTATATTTATCCCATAAAATCCATACTGTACTAAGGAGCTATGAAGGATACAAATAACTTAAACCAAACCCGGTACCATCAAGTGGATTCCAACTCACAGCAGCCCTATAGGACAGAGTAGAACTGCCCCATACGGTTTCTAAGGCTGTAATCTTTATGGAAGCAGACTGCCACACCTTTCTCCTGTGGAGCAGCTGGTGGGTTTAAAGCGCCGACCTTTCAGTTCGCAGCCGAGAGCATTAACTGCCATACCACTAGGACTCCTCACAAATAACTCACACCCAAAGAATTTGGTTCATACACAAAACATTAAAAAGGACTAGTGACAGAGGTGGGGCCAAGATGGTGGAGTAGTCAGACGCTTCCTGTGGTCCCTCTTAAAACAAAGACCCGAAAAACAAGTGAATCAATTACATACAACAATCTAGGAGCCCTGAACATCAAAGGCAAAGTTGAAGAACTGGACTAAGGGGCAAGGGGAGGGAAAGACGGTTCGGAAGCAGCAAGGAGCTGCCACACCTGATCTGGCAGGAGGCAGCACCCTTCAGGCCAGATTGGCTGGCATACGTGGTGAGGTAAGCAGTGGCACTCGGAAGGCGTTTTCCAGATCGAGAGAGATGGAGTGGCAGAGAGTCTATGTGGGCCCCCAGAACCAGGGAAAAGCAGCACTCAATTGGGAAAATATAAGTACATGCATCTGATCTATCGCGCAGATCAAAAAACACCCCCTTTAGGAAAAACCTCTCTCCCATTTACCTGCCCCCTCCCCATTCTGCACCAGGTCCTGGGCCAGCTTCAGCGATTGCTGAGTCCCCTCGGCCGGAAGTAGGACCTGTCATGCGCCCTGAGCCAGTCTCCCGGCCTTGGAGAGGGAACAAATTAACAAACAGGAAAAAATAATCTGCCAGCTCCCCTAAGCCAGGAACTCAGGGCAGGCACAGCTCCTTTGCCTAGGCACAGGCATAAGGGGTCCACGGACTTTGAATGCCTTTCACCCCTGCATAAAACTGTGCGGGCCCATTTGAACAGCATAGGCCCTAATTACCACAGTACAACAAACAGGGTATATACCTGAGGTCTAACTTCAACTGTAGCAGCTATATGGTGGAGTGGCAGGTTCATGGCATTTGACGCTGCTCTGCCCATTAAGCAGGGTCCTCACCTACCCACATCAGGGGCCTCAGGACTGGGTGCTCCACCCACGCCACCTAGCCACCTGTGACAGGTCCAAGAATAAGTGGTGCCTCTCAGTCCTTACAGTCAACAGCACTGGGTGCTCATAGTCCGGCTGCAAAACCCACCCACCTAAGCGCTCTAGGCAACAGAGACACGCTTTCCTCCCAGACACTCAGGGGCAGCCATCAGCCGCTTGCCTTGCTCAGTGCATGACCCCTTACTGCAGCCAGATACCTGCGCCTACACCAATCACCCCTGCCTGTCTAGGACTATAGGTGAGAGCCTGCACCACACACTTTGTGACTGACTACCTGGATACCTGAGTTGAATCCATACAAAAAAAGTAAACAGACTCCTATGCTCACATACCTAGTACCAGATCTAACCACTTGGTGACAAGACATTAGAGCTCAAAGGCACCAATAATCCGACTAGCTCACAGGAGCAGCCTATTTGGGCATATGAAAACAAAACAAAACAAGAAGCTCAGACACAGTAAGCAAACATAAAATAAATATAACTTATTGATGGCTCAGAGACAACACTCAGTATCAAATCACATAAAACGGCAGATCATGATGGCTTCAGCAAGCTCCCAAAACAAAGAATCAAGAAATTTTCCAGAGAAAGAGAACTTCTTGGATTTACCAGAAGTAGAATACAAAAGATTAATATACAGAACTCTTCAAGAGATCAGGAAGTAGATCAGGCAAAACGCAGAACATGCCATGGAACACACTGACAAAGCAATAGAGAATCTTAAGAATGTTATTCAAGAGCATAATCACAAATTTAATAGGCTGCAAGAATCCACACAGAGACAGCAATCAGAAATCTAGAAGATTAACAATAAAATTTCAGAATGAGATAACTCAATAGAAAGTCACAGGAACAGAATTGAGGCAATGGAAGTCAGAATTAGTGAGACTGAAGACAAAGCACTTGACACCAACTTATTTGAGGAAAAGCAGATAAAAGAATTTGAAAAACTAAAGAAACCCTAAGAATTATGTGGGATTCTATCAAGAGGAATAATCTACAAGTGATTGGAGTACCAGAACAGGGGGGATAACAGAAAATACAGAGAAAACTGTTGAAGATTTGTTGGCACAAAACTTCCCTGATATGGTAAAAGATGAGAAGATATCTATCCAGGATGCTCATCGAACCCCACATAAGGTAGATCCCAAAAGAAAGTCACCAAGACATACCGTAATCAAACTTGCCAAAACCAAAGATAAACAGAGAATTTTAAGAGTGGCTAGGGATAAATGAAAAGTCATCTACAAAGAAGAGTCAATAAGACTAAGCTCAGACTACTCAGCAGAAACCATGCAGGCAAAAAGGCAATGCGATGACATATATAAAGGGTTGAAGAAAAAAAATTGCCAGTCAAGAATTATATCCCCAGCAAAACTGTCTCTCAAATATGATGGCAAAATTAGGGCATGTCCAGATAAACAGAAGTTTAGGAATTTTTAAAAATCAAACCGAAATTACAAGAAATACTAAAGGGAGTCCTCTGGTTAGAAAATCAATAACATCAGATAACAACCCAAGACTAGAACACAGGACAGAGCAACCAGAAATCAACATATAGGGAAGCCACAAAAATAAATCAAAGCTAAAATGCTTAAAATAGGGAAACAGAGATGTCAATATGTAAAAGATGACCGCATTAAAACAAAAAAGGGGAACTAAAAAATGTACTCACAGATCTTTCATATGGAGAGGAAGTCAAGGTGATATAAAGAAATAAAAGACTGGTTTAAACTTAGAAAAAATAGGGGTAAATATTAAGTAACCACAAAAGAAACTAACAATCCCAAACATCAAAATAAAAAACAAGAAAAACATAGACTCAGCAAATACAAAATCAACAATGA